TTTTTTTTACTTTTTTAGCTATCTTATTAAATTTATTAACTTTTTTAGTATTCTTAGCCTTTAATAATATATCTCTCTTCTTATTAATATTCTTTGTAATAGTAGCCTTTTTATTGCCTAGCTGTGTTATTTGTAAAGCAATTTGTTTAAATTAGGTGTATAAAGGCAAAATAAGGTGATTATAGGGAAGATAATAGGCTTTATAAAAGTTAGGACTTTATTAATTTATATTATATTAGATTACTCTAAGTTTTTTAGGGTATAACTTATATAGTTATAAGTTGCTGTTATTATTATGTGCTTTTACTAGTATATAAGGTTATAAATCACCTTTTAAGCTAGTAGATTTAACGTATTATAATATGTGTACTATTTTTTTAATTATATATTACTACCTTAAACAATGAGACGGCGATTTCACCACCAGTTGTGGTTGTTTTGCCCACCGAGGCTGGTGGACAATATGCCCAAAATCCAGCGCCGCTTTAAGACCTCGCAGCAACTTCTCCTGGTGGGGCCATTACATCAGCGCAGCGCCATGTACCTCCAAAGTCCCCTTCTGCCTTGCCAACCATGCCCCGCCGCAGCAAGGCTCGAGCTCTTGAAGCAAGCCCCTCCAGGCAGGAACCGGACGTCAAGGCTGCTTTCTGGAAACCACTTTCCGGACACCCCAATACGAAGGCACAACCACCAAATATGGCGGCATTGCACGGATCGTACTTAAGGGGCACTCACCCCGCCTCAAGGACGGTTGGTAGTGCAGCATTTGTGTTCCTCTTTGCTGCAGACACTCGCCACGCCCAACCGACTCGCCACCGCCTAGAATCGGAAGCTTCCAGCCATGACACGTCGAGCAAACTCTTCCGCTCCATCTTACGACTCAGACGCCTCGTACTCCCCTGAGGACGATGATGTGGAAGATGAACTCTTTGACCGGAATGGCTCCGACCACTCAGAATCTGAAACAGAGGCGACGGATGTCGAAGATTTAAGCCTTGACGACGAGGATGGCTGCGACGACATCGACGTCGATGACCAGGTTCAGTTCTTTGGAGGAAACATTCATCCCCCGGAGTACTACCGACACGCTGTTGAGAGTTTCAACGAGAGCGCCTACGAAACTCAGGACTACAGCGACGGTAGCTTGCTGCTCCTAGACGCCTGTGAGGAGCAATGGCGCCAGTATGCAACCCGCCATACAACTTCCTTCTCTTTGCTGGCTGCTAATTTGTCTGCTCCCCACCCTCTAGATACTGCAAAATGCTGGAGCGCGACCCTCAAAGCTGTTTTGAGTCTCTCTCGCAATCTAACGCCCTGCCCCTCCTGTATAACTTTTTCGACTGGTCACTGAATCAGAAAATCGGCAAGGACGGAAGGAAGAGGAGAGGAACTAGGAAGAGCAGCTCCCTGGGCACGTACTGGAAAGTCTTCCGACTCGTCCATGAGAGAGCCACGGGAAACAAGCTTGATCCGAAGCTGAATCGGCGTATGCACAAGGTACGGTCAATCCCTGCCAACGCGAATGTAAGTGGCTAACCAAGTAGGTGCTCCGAGATCTCGCCAAAAAACATGGCCTAAGCAACGAGAAACGTGTGAATCGTTGTATGACAATCGAAGACCTTAAAAAGCAAATTGAGACGACAATCAGCACAACTGAGAAGTCGTTCAAGCTAGGAGAGCTGCGCATTCTTGCTGTTCTATTTCTCCTCCTCCTCGCACCTGCAGGAGCACGCCCTACGTCCATCTTGCGTATGCGGTTTGGAGATATCCGGCTCGTGCTGGCGAGGGACCCAGAAGGCGGGCCACACAATATTCTAATTAGATTCACACTGGCCTTCACGAAGACATATCTTGGGGTCAAAGACGCGTAAGGAGGCCACGACCTCCCTTTTTATCGTTTTCGGGAACCAATTATTAACATAACATACTGTAGAAAAACTTACCCTATCCCTGAGAATTTGTATGACCCTTCCTTGCTACTTAGCCCGCATGTATTTTTACTTGGCATTTTGTTCCGTCATCGTGCGTTCCGTGCGACAAGCCTCGCCTCTCCCGCACAGCTGGCTAATCTCGACATTCACCCGCAAGAGCGAGAGTTGCCTCTGCCGTTGAGGGATGAATTGAAAGAGACACACATATTTCGTCGGGCTGTGAAAAACCTGACTGGTTTTGAGTTATCTCAGGATAAGCCCATATCCTACCAGATGGTTGCCCAGTGGATCAGAAAAGTCGGCGAAGTCTTAGGGTTAGAGTATCCCACTATTCCCTACAACTTGCGCTATAACGCAGCAAATGAATTCGACCGGAGCGGTATGTCCCGACCAATGTCTAGTCATGTACTTCAAGCTTACTCTAGTCCCAGCCGATATAAGCGAGGCGCTGCGAAATCTTGCCATGGGTCATGCCAATTCGACACCATTCCAGCGCCACTACCTGGGCCGGGAAATTGGCGCAGACACATGGGCTATTCTCCGGCGACAAAAACCACAGCAAGCCTTGATTATGCAGGCCTGCAGTGTCGGTCACTCGATAAGCAAACGACGGCCCACGGATCTCACACCTGAACAATTAGTATCCGTGAACAATGATGCCCTAATTAAACGGTTAGAGCGAGACCTACGACGCCATCGTCAGGGGTCGAAGAAGTACATGGAGCTCCGCCGTGAGTTGCGAAATGAGAAGCAAAGGCTGAAGAGACAGCTGAAGCAGAAGGTTCGGGATGAATGGACCGCCGAACAGGCTGTCGACGACATCGAGCGGCAGTTGCGAGGTGTCGGTTTTGCTAAGGGAGCGGCGAACGCAACTGTCTCTCCCCAGCGACCAGCTCAAAAACGACTCATGGAGGCTCTCACTGTTCCCCTTGGCAATACACTTGAAGGTCAATATCAGCGAAGAGACAACGCCATTAGCGCCATTATGGCTTACTGCGTGGTTGAGGAGGGCCAGACCATCCAGCGCCATACACCCTCTGTCGAGTCCAGGTCGACCTTTATATCTGAACCACCAGTGAGAAGCCCCCAGCACATGGCTCTGATGTCTGTCTTTGTCAAGAATGAGAAGGAGAGGCCGAGAAGGTGCTTCATTTGTGTTGGCAAAGCACTCACCCTGGCTCCTGATGACGTGGCTGTGGAGGGCCTCGTACGTCAGTTCTATACTCCGGGGGACCTAAATAAGCACTTCCGTCGAAGCCATCTAAGCAATATGCAAATGGATGAGAAGATAGAGTGCACGGCTTGCTCCATACCACTCGAACATAAGCAGCACTTGCTGACCCATGCTCAAATAGTTCATGGGATTCATCTGCGTCATCAGCAGCATGTTGAAACCGATGGGATTGTATTTTGACTCAGTTGCACTTCTGTTATTCAATCTATTTGACTGACTTAGATAGTTAAATCATCTCAATGCACAAATTTCCTTGTCAGGTTACCCTTCTGGGCCCTTATTAAGAATTAACCCTGTGTTGTACCTGTGTTCACGGCACGCGTCTCTGTGTGGGTTTTGCACGTGCCTGAATTCCCGTTAATTGCTATCGCCAGTCATATTGTATCATTTAGCCTAGCTTAATCGTTACTATCACTGCGATCTCTCGTGACTCTTGTAGCGTGGCTTGCCACTACGACTCGGCTGCTGTCTTTCCAAATGCACCTTGCCAAATCACTGGAATGGGTTCTTCCAATCTCGTAATTTAAGACTGCGCACTCAGAAAACTATTAGTTTGTTGGTCCTCTTTAGTCCTTTCCGTCATCTGCCAGCCGCTTTCTGATCTCGTTAGGAGACGGCCTGGAACGCCTTGCTTCTGGGCCATGCGGCTGCCCATCATTCCTTGGCTGTGACGGAAAACTTTGTTTACTTTTATGAGCCTCGAAGACTGAAGACGTGCCGGCTTGAGAACGGACAGGATTGCCGTGCATCGCTCCAAACCGACTGTTATAGCGCTTCTCAGCCAGGTGTTGAATAGTCTCATCTGTCATTGAACCAACCAGCTGCGCTGAATTGCCTTGAGACAGCGCTTTCTTAACATCAAACAAGTCCGCCAAACTCGTTACCACCACTTGATCGCTGTCACCGTCAGCAACAACTTCCCCAAGTCTGTAGATTTTCTGGTGTGAAGCTTCTCTAGCCACCTTGCACACCTCTAAGCACTGTTTGGAAATGTTGATGTCTTCCTGCAGGCGTAATCTCTCTTCATCCCTTTTAGGGCTGTCATCCAAGAGAAGAGTCTCAAGTCGTTCTTGAAGGCGGTTGCTAATTACCGCTAGGCTGTCTCGATTTTTATCCAGAGCTTGGCGTGTTAGCAATTGCGCTTCAAAGCATCCATGACCATTGTCACCCCCGTTTTCGTGTGCTTCCTGAAGCAAAGTAGACTCCCGGTTCGCCAAGGACTCAATAAAAGACTTTGCATCGTCACAAATACGAAGACATTGTGTAGTCACAGCTCTCTCGTCCTTCAGGTCAACCGTTACGTCTGAGGTGCTTGAATCCTCGGCTGTGAGTTGCGCCATCTTTTCATCTATCTGGCGCAAATGGAGCTCAAGATTATATGCTGTGTCATGTATCATCTCGTTGTATTGTTGAAGAACTTGGTGGGAAATCTTTGATGTGTGCCTGATTTGAAAGATGTCAGCAGAGTCTGCAGTAAACAAGGAAATGTGACTAACATAGTAATGGTGCCCAAGCCGACTGAGATTGTTGACTTGTACCCAGAGATAGTGTCTATAAACTCATTGATATCCCCCCTCATAAACTCCATCTTGGTCCAATCCAGGAAGCCTGTCTTTGACTTGCTGGTGAAGACCTTCATTGATTGCTCGAACTCGCGACACACCTGGCTGCACCGGTTGAGGGGACCCTGTAGAAGCACCATCATCGATGTCTCAGTATTGATTGCTTCCTTCAGCGAGTTCAAAATATTCCCGAGATCTTCAAGCTCATCCTGAAGTCTGCGCAAAGTCTTGTTACGATCTTTGAATCGTTTGACAGCTTCAAAGAGTGAATTCGTCGACTGAATGGCAGCTGTAAGAACAGCAAGTACAGAGACACTTATACTCAAAGGGTCCGCCATTCTTGACTTATGGTGTCGGTGCTTCCTCGGTGACAGAAATTGCGAACGTGATAGATATCGCCAGGAGTAAGGGCAAGGTCTCAAAATACCTGGTGTACGTTCAGTCGACTTGACCGTATTACGATCGACCGAGGTGATTGCAGATTATTTTGGGTGGAATGAAATAAAATTATAATGATACTAGTTTTGTACCGACATAAAGACATGAGGACATGTACCTGGGTTTAAAGTCTGCAGAGCGCAAATGACTTCGAAAGGGTATATCCCCGCAGGCGTTCTTGCTGACTAGGGGAGGATGAAGGAAATGGTTTCCCAGGGGGATTGCACAAATGGCTGGCGCGCTGTTACCCACATGATTGCGGAAATGGCGGGATTATCTAGCCCTGCTGCCAATCACACGCACTCAGTCGGTCCCATACAGGCGGCAAAATCTGGAGTTAGATGGCTTGAGCTAACGTTCGACCCGCAAACCTTTCAAGTGGTAACGGTCTGTTTCATCAAGCGCCGAATGATGGCAAACAGGCGAAACGTAATATACGACCAGGCCTCCTTAAAATGAACCTGTAATGCCATCGCCCAATCATTCGTCTTGTCATGCAGCTACTCGTATAGCCAAGGCCACCTAGTAATTACTACGGCCTATGGCTGCAGAATGCCGGGTCACGTGTAGTTGACGAGTCTGGTTGGTCAACACAAATGCTGACTCTGATGCAACATATCCCGCATCGTCAGCGTGGTAGAAAGAAAGCAGAGCGCTGTCGCTGCCGCAATTTAAGCGAAGTCAGATCTTTGTTTCGATCAAGGCGCGATCTTTTTCTTTTTTTTCTTCTTTTTTTTTTCAATAATATACCGTAATTGAATTCATTTTGGAGACTGATGGAAGAACGGAGGGATATTAGAAGAAAGAGAGGCCGACGAAACGCCAAACGGGAAAGCGGGGGCAACAATGCACCGCACCCGAAGACAATACATTACCGAAGACAGAGACAAGATGAAGTCATCAGCAGGCTTGGACGGCATGGCCGACATCAAAATACTATTGTTGTACCCCATGACCAGTATCACGTCGGTTGGATCTGTGCATTGTCGGATGAGTTGGCCGCTGCTTCGAGCATGTTGGACGAGATTTACGAGCGCCATTATCAGCCTCGCAGCGACACCAACACCTATATTCTAGGAACTATTGCTGAGCACCGTGTTGTTATGGCGTGTTTACCTACACAGGGTTATGGGACAAGCAATGCAGCGGTTGTGGCTACGAATATGCGACGAACCTTCCCTTCGATTTGCTTTTGGCTGCTGGTTGGAATCGGCGGCGGCGCCCCCGGCAAAGTTGACATCAGACTTGGTGACGTTGTTGTCAGTACCAAGGTAATCCAGATCGATCTTGGAAAAATTGTCCGGGATGGGCAATTGCATCGAACAAGTGTTGTTCGCACACCATCCCAGAGTCTTATGACAGCCATTGCTGCACTACAAGCAAGGCACAGAAAATCGTCAAGCAAGATATCCGGATTCATCTACCAAATGCTGAAGCGTGATCCAGGTATGGAGGGATTTTCGGATCCTGGTGCCGATTCGGATCTGCTGTTTGATAGTAACCACGAACACACTCCTCAGTTGATGGATAACTGCAGTCTCTGTAACATGTCGCGACTTTTGAGGCGGAATACACGTATTAATAGGGACCCAATTGTCCACTATGGGACTATCGCCTCTGCAAACCAAGTTATGAGAGACGCAAAAACAAGAGATCGACTAATGAACGAATTGGACATTCTATGTTTTGAGATGGAGGCGGCTGGCTTGATGGAAAGCTGTTCAAGTATGGTCATTCGCGGAATTGCCGACTATGCGGATTCCCACAAGAACAATCGATGGCAATGCTACGCCGCTGCTACAGCCGCAGCATACGCCAAAGAACTTCTTTCAGTCATACCATTGGCAGAGAAGTCAGGGACGGAAGTCCAGCGCGGTATGCAGAGAACACACCGCGTCACTGCTCGCCATTCTCACAATACCCCCTCAGTTTCGCGTGGAACCGAACAAGTTCATAGAATTAAAGGAGTCAAAGCAGGTGATGATGCGAACCAGATGTTTCTGTCAAATGGCACTCCGTTGCGTATTGAAAAGGCGACCGTGCGAAACAGGGGGTTTCAGCTGTTTGGTGATATACCATTGCAGGACGCCTTGAAAATTTTAGACAGGAAGCATAGTACTGGTACTGAGGAGGCTTCAGAGGAAGTCACAGCCAGCTCAGCCGGTAGTTCGGCTGCTATATAAAGCATCTTCCCACTATTGTTGCCATCTTTAATATAATACCGAATTACCGTAACATTCATTTACTGCTCGATTCATTGTCTGATTTCTGCGGACCCAGCGTAAATCCACCCCCATACCTTGTCCCAAATGTAGTAGTGCTTCCAGTAGGATCTCGGCTTGCAGTCGTTTGACGACTGTTAAGAAATTTCGAGAGTTCCGGAACTGATGATTCGTCCCAAGCCCCGATCACTTGCCAAGAACTCGTTCCGGCTTCCACATTTTCCGCATCGTAAACGTGATCTTTCGTAGATACCAAGAGTTGTACGCTGTAATCTCCGGCCTTGATATCTTTCAGACGATGTGTCGGACGCAATGTAGGGTCGGTTTCCTCTGCTGCATCCATTTCTCGATCAGAGTCCATCGCCAAGTTGGATCGGGTCACCGATTTGATTCACGTTTGTTGAAGACGGGGTTACTGAAGCAGAAAAGGGGGATGTTCGCTACCCTTATGGATTTCGCTTTGCGTTTGTGAGGTGCTGGATGGTAAACTCCCTGACTGCGAATCTCCTATTCTTCCCAGGAGGGGGGTAAAAGTTGCACCTGGTCAGTTTTGATAGGTACTCCGCGTGACGGTAGTGGGAACACCAGGCCAAAAAATGTCCAATGCCAGCCTGAATACGCGACCTCAAAATGCCGCTAGCAGAGTGGAGACATTTGACGGTAGCTGCCTCAGCCCCATCCAGCTGGGCTGGACCCGTCACGTCTCCTTGGAATCATTCCTCGCATGTCCTGCTCAATGTATCCAGAGGTATTAATATAACGGCCCTGAAGTCTACAACTGCTGGGTCTCCAACTGCATTTATTATCATATTGTCTGGTTCTGTTTGGGGTGAAGCTTGGATTTGTCTCTAGGATGTGGGAATAGGTCACACGCTCATCGAGTAAGCGTCGACCTGCAGGATCTCCCCTCACTTTGGGAGCAACAGAGCATCAGGACTGTGGACACCACCAGTCCTTTTTGAGCAGCTCTTCCTAAGACTAGCAGTCGCTGCTGCCTAAAATTTGTGCCATGCAATATCGCCGGACGCAACATTAACGCTATAACTAGCTGCAATCGACCCTACACATTAGCGAATCTCTGCTGATAAGCTAAACCAGGATTTGAGAGTCTGAAGGGCTTTGGGGCCATTGCTCATGAAGCAATCTACTGGGACCAGTGTTGGAAAAGGCAAGATTGCCTTCCGCCTGTGTGAGTAGTGGGCTTACGCCAAATTGTTCCCTGAGACTCGTTTGCTCAGCTCTCCGAAATAGTGCCTTTCGCTATTGTTATGTGCAAAAACACCTTCCTTTTTCCAACGAGCTATGCCAGTTGCTAAGCCTCTGATATTACGCAGCGTGCAATAACCGAAGGCTGTTAATCAAAACCGACTAGTCCATTTTTCGCTTGGTAGGTGTTTGTGGGTGTAGTTGACGGGTCTCTATGAAGGCATTAGTGACTATGCCCGGCGGTCCCGCTGGAACCATGAATACTTAAGTGGTGAAAAAGAGAATTGGGCCTGGCTGTGCGGCCAGGGCTACAACTTGCCCCGGCGTATGTGATCTGGTTTTGAGAGCTGGCATTAAAAACGCTTTCCGCTGGTCCTAATAAATAAGTTCGCCTCTTGAGCTAGTCCATCAACGTGGCTGGTTCCGAGAATCGGCCTCAGCATACCCCATGATCCACCACCAAGGCGGTGGCGGATTGAAAATATGTACTGGTTGCGGCACATAGGGAGGCGTCGATCAAAGGCGTCGTTCGGGGACAAGGACAGTCGACTATCGTTCTTCTGTACGCCCGATCTTGATACTGATTGATTATTCTCCATCATTTGTGGTGGCTAATCTATTGAGCGTTAGCTTAGCGCTAAGATTTAATGTACACAGCTGGTTAGTCTCGAACATATTGGCAGTTGAGTTGGTCAGCCACGGGCATGACATGACACCCTCCGATCCCCCTCACCTCATTGTGGGGATATCTTGGAATCAGGATTGGGGACAACATACAGTCGGACCTCATGTATAAAATAACTTCCAAATACTTTTCAGCTTGCCACGGCTTCTGTTCCGCCTTACGGTTGACTTGTATCTGTTTGCATCACTCATGCGCTCTACCACGGTACGTCAAGTGTTCTGAAAATCCAAGGCTGTACTAATGCAGCTATTTAGGAGGTTGAATATCGATCTAAGGAATTTGAGGCAAATCCACAATGCCTTATAAAAGAAAAACAAAATGTAGTCACTGCGTCTCAAAAAGAGGAGTCTGTGAATGAAGAAATTGGGGTGCAAGAGGGTCTAGAAATATACACCCAACTTGTTCATCACATCAACGAGATGCATCTTGCACTCAGCAATCTACAGGTGCGCGGACCAGCCTCAGCATTCCTGTTGCTTCAAACCCTGGCAGGAGCCTTGTCCAAAGCTATCATAACACAATTATATGACAAAGAACAGGATGACAAGGTCAAGAAACCAGAAAAACAAAAGACTCGCCCTTGTGGTACCTCAGAGGGCAGTGACATCGAATCTCGAAGTTTACTCAGCGACGGATGCAATCAGTGTGTGTCGCGACAAGACATCACCTACAACGAATGCGCGCATGTTGGTGCCGCAGAATGCCGCGTCCATGTGATCAAAGATATTAGTATGGGCCATGATGGGAAACAAATTTTTGTGGCTACTCTTGGTGAAGTATTCGATGTTAGTGGAGTGTCCGCTGAGAACAGGGCGACTCAGCTTATTGGATCAATGTCAGATACTGCGTTGCAAGAGTATTTCAGAGCGCAGTCAAACCAGTAGCAAATATGGCTATTAGCTTCGGTTGGCAGGAGGCAATTTGCTGAGTACTGGACCCGTTCTGTGCTGTTGTTCAGCTATCAGACTGGTTCAAAATTGCTGGGTCCCACAATTCAAATAAAGTTTGGCACGTTTGACCAGGCGCCATCACAGCATAAGAATCGATCCACGGTGAAACGTCGTCACGAGGCTAGAACCCATATCGAAACTTGGCAGCCGGTGGAGATACCTAGCTGGATGTGTGATTTCGCATTCCCAAACAGCATGATTACTGAGTCTTCCGGTAATTATGGGATCTTCAATAACATGGAAGCTGGAATCTTGTTGCTCCGGAAGGATGAACCCGGACAGGAGGAGAGTTCGACAACACAGTGGCCAGCTCGCCGTGGCTGGTGTGCCAGGCAAAGATGGCAGAGAGGCTCCAAGGTCATTTCTGATCCAACGACGGACCCATTGCCATCGTCAAGGGAGGCATGTCGTGTTTATCAGTCCAACGCTGTGCAGCTTGTCGGGTCATTCCGGTCCGCAAGACCTGACGATCTGGAACTAATGCGCGTAAAAACTGGCTTCGTATCTCTACCTCTTCTGAGGTCAAATGCCGTGTAACGAAGGAGTCGAAAACGGCGGCAGCACATCGTCCATCGTTTCGAAAAAGGACATGCGGAGAGAGACATCAGTGGCGCGTGCAGGTGGCGTTTGAGTGCGTTGTGGGTGCTCTCAACGGCGCTTGTCGCTATGCATCAGCCCCACCAACCACTGTATCTTCAAAATGACGGTGCATCGATGTTCACAGTCCACACACCGTTGTGGGCTTACACTATTACTTGAATGGAATGTTTAATAGGGTCCACCCGTGTGCATGCCGCGGTTGCTGAGACAAAGCACTCTCCCTGGCTCCAGATGATGTGGCTGTAGAGGATGTCGTACATTAGTTCCACGCCTCGGGTGACTTGTCCAAGCACGCCGCAAACATCTGTCGAATTTGAAGCTTCGTAATGACATAAAAGTGTCCCGTTTGTGGCCTGCCGCTTGACCGCAGGCAAACTTTTAGAGCCATGCTTTGCGAATTCACGGAACCATGTCTTAACTTACTCATTTTGCAAGTATGTTTTGCACGTGCCTAAACGCGTCCCCCGTTAATTGCTGTCGTCATTATATTGTATCATTTAGCCTGGCTTACTTAGTTACTATCACTACTGCCTCACACGACTCTTGTAGATGTACAGAGTTGCCTACTCCACACCTAGTTCATGAAAATCCAATATCGCCGTCTATACGAGCTGTCACATCCGGGCCAGCGCGCAGGTCTTGCTCCAGCTATACGTGCCGGGTGGATCGATGTTTGAAGACTTCTCCTCACAGAAGAAGTGTATTCGTGGGGCATGCCTCGAGAAATTCGGCGTGTCGATTGAGAAGCTCTTCAAGGTCTAAGTCCCGCTGTAGGTCTGGAAAGTAGAGCTGATACGGACTCTCGTTGCCATTTGTCAATAAGGCTCTGCGCAACATGAAGCAGTCATCCGCGAACCTCCCTCGGCACGAGAAATCTCCGTATGCTAATAAACGGAGAGACGCAACCCCGTTGGGCCCGAAAGCCCAATCCGCAAACTGGCGAAGGTCATCAGACAAGATTGTCGCGACAAGGATGTTCTGGTTGTTAGCCACGTCTGATTGCCGAGCCACCCACCCTAACATACCATCTTCGCAGATCTCCTGCCGACTCAGGCCCGAGCAGTCCCCAAACAAAGTAGCATCATCTAATTAGATCTGGCTGAAGACCAAAGATCCATATTTCCTAATGTCTGGCCCTGACTGCCTGATATGCAGGACCTGTAAACTGCCCTTGTGAGACAAGGGCTCTATAACCTCTTTCTAAATCCATATTAGATACTGCACACTCGACGTGACCAGGGATAAGAAGAGCAAATACCAATCGGCGAGGATCACACGCCAGCCCGATACATTCGAGATACAGCTCACCCAGTGGGTTTGGGGACTGCTCAGTGAACCAGGCATCACCTTCAAACTTCATTTCTTCGTCAGAATCTTCGTCGACACTTCTCAAGTGAGCCAGAAACGAGTCACTCAACAGCGCCATATCATTCAGGTCCATTTCCTCTTCAAATAGCTCGGACTCATCGTCAAGGTTCACGCTTCTGGCGTGGTAAATGAACCGCCGGAGAGTTGCCTTGTGTCGCACCGCCGTTCTCCACAAGGCCTTTGTATCTGTCGGGCTGGGCAGGGAGAGATAAAGGCTCTCTAACCCGCTAATGCTCTCCAAAAAGTTTCGCAAAACCTCTTCCTCATTCTCGGCTACAGCCATCAACCCGACTGGCTGATATATCTCCAGTGACGTTATATTAAGAGCATAGTTTGGTTCTATCAACCGTTGCAGAAACAGCTCCCAGCCAGGGCATCGGCGAATAGTAATTGACCGCAGAGATGCAGTATTCACAGCATAAGCAACTCCACAAGAGTGTGATGTTAGATCAAGGCCAGACAGTGACAGGTTTTCCATGGCAGGAAATCGGAGTTTAGTTGACTGAGGGCGTACTCTCAATATGAACCTGAAAAAGTCTGCAATATCATCATCCATTTCATCCCAGTGTTCCTTGACTAACTCCCAGTCGATGAAATCGAGCTGTAGGGCTTCCAAATGGTGGGCATTCTGCCGCAGTGCTAGGCCAAGTGCGATGAAGTCAGAATATGTCCGTAGTCCTGTCCAAGAAATATATTTTAAGGATTTCAGCCCCTGGAGGGCGAGCGCCGGGCTCTGGGAATTGAGCGCACAGTTGGCATCTGTCACGAGGCGGAGATGCTGAATGCGATTCTGATGGGTTAGGACATAGCCACCTTGTCCGAGAAGCTGTTGAGGGACACATACGCCCATGTCCCAGCTGCCATCGCTGTCAGTTACAATCGGCCATGCGGCCACGCCATGACGTACCTGGATTTCTGAAGTCTTCCATCTTGGAGCTTCTGCAAAATGGGCAAAATGCGACTGCCAAGCAGCTGCAGCGAAGAGCGATCTTGTCCGTTATCATCGTGGTCCATTGTCATATGCACCTCCTCATCGTCAACGTCATCGTGCACGCAGCGGAGCCTTAATCTTTCAGAAAACGGGGCTGATATCCGTAGGTTGGTTACACGTGCCAGGAGGTCGCTCGATCGTTCGGCAGCTCGAAGTAACCCTTCCACCTCCACCTCATCCAAATAATGCTCGTCGGGAGCTCGCAGGAGGACTTCATGTGTACCATAAAGATGCGCCGCTGCTAGAACATAAAGAGCCTTCGAGGCCTCACACAAGCTTTTGAGATCACGCTTGTCTCCGATCTGCTTTGCTTAGCTGCCATCCGTAGATGGACCAATGACAGGTAAAGGGATTAAATACATGTTCAATAATGCACGACAGGATTTCTGTCGGCAAGCTCAAAAGCATCTTATCCGGGGTAAGATTGACTAAGCTGGCCTGGTTGCATAACTTGCTTACATTCAAACTGGGTATTTTGGTGTAAGCTTAGCCGCTCTGCGAGAGGCAGATGCCTAGATTTATATACCAACAGAGCGGAGCCCCATGTACGTTTTGTCATGTGACTTATGTGAGGTCATGCTGGAAGTTTATGAATTATGTCCAAACCTTCGATCTGGAAGATTCCTCTTTCTTGATCTGAGCACGTAATACCACGATACAACTGTACGGCAGCCTTGATGGCCGTTGTCGTTTATGCGATCGGCCACTGTGTCCTGAACCAGGCTACAAATGGTCCACTAGGAAAGGCTTCCATAAAGGACGCTAACCCACTCTAGCTGCTCTGGGACAACGATCTCTATTCATCAGAGAGTACACCGTGGGCTTGTCGGCTCAAGCCATTATTCATGCGAGCCCATCAGCCTGCGCCACCCGCTGCGTGGCACATTCGGCACAAGCCAATTTTCGCACAGGCTCAAAAGCCAGCGCCGGGCTGGGCCGTAGCTGTCAAGCCTACTCGAATATCCGCTTATGCCTTCACCTTCACGCCAAGTTACTTGGGCGTACCAAGGCATCCGCGCCAACTGGCCTTCGACACTCAGCTGACGCTAGGATCAGCACATAAAAGTTTGCCTCCGAACAAAGCAAAACAGGCCAAGCGGCCTCATCATAGTACCTCACAGGCGATTGGAAGTGCGCTCATATCAGTCGGTGCAGCTTCGTCTACGCTTCAACGCCGTCTCTTAACTCTACTGCTATCTTCTTCCTGGTGTCCTCCCTCACCTGGTAGTCTCTGTACCACAATCGTGTGAGTGCCATCGTCAACAACTTTGCGAAAACAGTCTGTTGGGTTCAATTGGTTACGCTCCTTATCAAATAAATAGTACCCCTTCCTCATATAGTCCCTTGCCATCCGCCTTACGCGCTCCAGGTCGTCCGGGTTTGCTGGATCCACTATCAATGGATCAGAGATCACAAAGCTATCACCAGATTCTACATCCACAAAGTCAATACGAATCGTCCGTTTTCGCTCGGCCCCATCCGCTCCAGCTTCTTCTGCAACAATCGCCAATGCCTCCTGGTGTTCCTTGTTGGGGTCATGTGCCACAAGCTCTTGGAAGTTGAATCGTGTGTTTCGATCTGTTCGTCGCAGCACAATTTGAGTCTCTGCTCCTTGTCCCAAGCCCGCCGATAAGACCTGCCTCGAACCGTCGGCTGCCCCAGCGGGCGACTCGGGTGCTGGCTCTCCATGCTCTTCTGAGATGACTTCAGCAACCTCCCTTTGTCCATGATCTAATTTACTCTGCTCCAAGTGTACCATTGTCTTTAGCCGAGTCAACTTTTTCTCCTCCAAGATTACATCTTGTCGTAATCCATCAAGCTGCACGTTCCGGTCTAGAATCTGTCGATTGATTTCGTCTAGCCGTTCCTGAAGCGACGCTTCGTCTTGTGTCAACTCCTCGAGTTTCGATTCCTTGTCCCTCACTCGACGAGATATGTCACTATGCCTCGCTTGCTCCAAATGAAGCTCATGTCTTGTTATGGCCAAAATTACGTCCTCTTCGGTTACCGTCGTCGGCCTACTGCTGTTTCCAAGAAGTTCAGGTTGCTCACTGATAGGCATACAGGGGATCATCGCTACGTCGTCGTTCCTGCTAGCATCGTCGCTAGTAACAGGGCTTCCTAGAGGCGGTGGCGCTCCAAAGTACGCGCAGTAAACAGACCGTCGAACGAACGTCGACGTCATCTCCCTCATCTCGCTATAGACGTCGGCATGCATCTGCGGCAAAAAGAGGCGGGTTTTATCGTATCGGTAATCGGTGTCGTTCGGTCGCCCGCATCGTTGCGGTGGCCGCTCGTGCTCTCTTACTTCGTCTTCTGTCTCAAGTAGTGCTTTGCTTTCAGAAGCTGGCACAGCAGCCGCAAAAGCATCTACTATTTGTTGTATGCATGCCTCTGGATCTCGAAACATGTATCGCCCAGGCTGGCGGGCTGCGAAAAGCGCCTGTTCAGCTACCTTTCGGTCGGAAGATGTCTCCAAGATCTCTTCGAGCTGGTCTGATACAAATCCAAGTCGCGCAGCGAGAGACGCAAGCTCGTGTAGAACTGTTTCGTTTGCCTTGGTTCGCGATACCGCCAGAAGGTCCTTCTTTTGCGTGTCGGCTGGCAGCTCTTTGTAGTTGCGAAAAGCCGCCAGCCATAGCTGGCGTATCCCAAGGTCCAGCCGAGTGTTGATGTCTCCTGCCACGCTAGTGAAGGTTGTCTCTGACAACTGAATGATGCATTGGTCCTCCCTTTGGTTCGCATTGGTGAAACGTTGGTTGAGCACACCAGTTACGGTGTCGTCGGGCCCCACGTGCAGTATCTTCTTGATGCAGCCGGCAGCATCATTCAGAAGTTTTCGGTCCTCGAAAAAGGTGAACAGGGACGGGATGAGACATTGTCTGGAAGAGCTGCAGACTCGAGACCAGATTGCTTCACGCTGTGGGGGAGAGAAGTTCTCGAAAATTTCGCCACTCCGTACCTGTGGTGAAAGGATCCGGTGGTCAGCGGAACAGGCCCCTGGCGCCTTCCCCTCTAGGGCCGTGATGGTGCCTCGCGTAATCTGTTTCATGGCCTCCTGATCGCCATCGCAGACGTCACGCCACCATCTGTAGATATGGTTCAAGTATGCAAGGTTCGGCTAAGCCGATGTAAGCATTTGAATTAACAAGCGACTTTACATGTACACTACCTCATCACACTTCATGCCTATTAGTTGGTGTATGGTGCCCAGTCGGAAACTGCCAAACAGTCCTGGAATTGCTAGGAGAGTGTCAAAGGCGGGTCCGTACTCCTTGTGCTTCGAAAGTTGGTTGAAGAGTCTTTTTTTGTTCGCGTTTGTTGCAAGCCTGCCCAACCATAGGTTTTCGAAGAAGGGGTTTTTCTCGCCACCGTGTCCTTGAAACTGCCTGATGGTAACGTAATATTCTCCGTCATCCGGCGCCTTCTGATAATCGTAGCCATCCGTGAGTAGAAGTCGCAGGTCATCACTAAGATCTGTACCATATTAGCATAGATCACTTGCCTCCCTCGGCACGCGACGTACCATCGAGATATAGATCAACGGTCCATCTCTTCTTAGAGCCTTGCAGCACCTTGTCGGCCGCCGCAAGTCTGTCATGGCCCTCGAGGCACTCTATCTTGACGCCAGTAGGGAATTCCAGTTCCGGGTACGGTAGAGCATCCCTCATGAGGCTGGAGCTTGGAATTGAGGCACGAGCTACTGCCGCCTCTAGGACCTGCTGGGGGATAAGAGCCTTGACATGATGGCGGCTGTCTTCTTTACGACAGCCACGTTCTTGGCGAAACATTCTTTTAATAGCGTCGACATGGTTGTTTTTAGAGCCTGTAGCCCCATCGTCCGCTGGGTCTCGATACTGCAAAGATGCTATGCTTATGCTTGCGGTTCCACAGTACTTGGCTCGTCGTTCCTCCTCAATACGACGGTTTACAGTTGTAAAGTTCTCTACAACCATTGTCATAACCATTCCCAAAGAAAAAGACTGGATGATGCCGAAAGCTCGCTAAGTATCTGCAGCCTTCTTCTTGTAGCCCTAGTGATGTTCACAATATGTCCAATTATGGCCGCTGCAACTGACTTTGGCCTATTTTGGACGAAAACTCGGCCTGCCAGTTTATAAACCGGCACACTGGTTCCCATCAGGGCAACGGAGTCCAAGGTAAGACAAGATGTCAAACACAGTAAATCGACTCCAGAAACGCCACGCAAACCGTATTGATCCGCTCAGGCTCGTGGAGACGAACCGACTCGGACGTCGGGCCATGGAGATGGTCCTCGTGAAGCCCAATTCACCTTGGGATTATTACTCGAAGATTTACAGTCTTAAACTGGGCGAGAACGAGCCGGTTATTGTTGCTGAGAGGAAAGGTGGTCCGTCTTTTGACCTGGTGTCGGTCCATCCGTGCCAGGACCTCAGCCAGAGTCAGCTTGAACTGCTCCGCTCGATACAACACGCAAACTTTGTTACCGTACATGAAGTTTACAATGAACAGGATAAATGGTATATAGTTATGGAACATATGACACGTTCCCTACAAGAGGCTGTCGGAAACCCTTTTCTTGATAGCTCCAAGCTCGCCGCCATTATAGGACAAGTACGTGTGATGCAGCTCCGGTAATGCGTACCCTGACCGTTACTAGATTGTCACGGCCTTGGGCTATCTCGAAGATAAAGGACTACGCTTCGGGTCACTCACTTGTTCCGACGTACTACTGCACCCCAGTGGGAGAGTCAAATTATGTGTGTCATCCGTATTTTGGTCTGAAAAAGAGCTAACACAAACACCTCAGGTAGACAGCACCATTGCACGCAATCGGATTCAAAAGATGACATACGACGCCTCGGCAACGTCATGATGGAGCTGATGGATGGTTATGTCAAGGACGGTGCCAACATCGGTATTGACAACCCGGAGCGATGGAGCCCCGAAGCCTTACACTTCCTTGGCGCAACGACATCTGCTTCGTCGGCGAAGGAGCTTCTACAGGTATGCATACTTCCCTTCTCCTGAGGTTGTTTCCTAACCAGAAGCAGCATCCCTTTCTTCATTCGTGGCAGAAAGACAAACTTCAGGGTCTTGTGTCTTTTGTGACGACATGGACTAAGCAGAGTTACCGTTATCTTGGGTGGCAGGATAGGCAGGCTGAAAAAAATCGTTAATCTCGCGATGTGCGCCCTATGGATGTGACTGACAGTGGATTTGGTACTTGATTGAAGTTATTTATAGGGGAAATTCGTCCGTGGTTATTGAGGTGCGGCAATTTGTTGCCTTTGCCAATTCAGCTACTGCTAGCTTTCAGCTCCCGTAGTCATCACTCGTTGACAGTTGGTGTTTCGTAGGTATTTAGTGGGTGAGCATGTCTATGAGGTGGCCATGTTGCGCCATCAGGTATAGGGTAGGACACATTACATCACGAGCTGTTATACGTTGTTTGTGACGGTAGGTTCATCCGTAGGTTGGCCGCCGTGAGTCCAGAAATGGCATTTAGAGGTAGCTGGGACAATATTGAAGAACACTTGATTCCCATGTCGAAGCAAAAAGCAGCGCCATGCATGGACCCACATAATCCCAACTAAAGCATCAACGAAGGCGATACAATCCAAAAGTGCTCCTCGCATCCTAAGCAAGTTACGGTTCAGCGACAAGTACTCCAGTTCTCCATTTCAACTGGTAAGTTTGCAGACCCACCACACCATATCTTGTGTGGGTGGAGTGTGAAGGGACCTCCACCCGGCCAGGGACAGGGCAAGGCTGAAGGACAAGGGGTAAGAAACGGCTGCCTTGCGGGAAAGCCTCCCGCGAAGCCGCCGACCAGCCCCCCTGCTTTTGGATCAAGTGGTTCCTGTGCAAGTGGGGCGGCAGCCTTACTGAGGTCATTTTCGGTTTTCCCGCCACCCCGTTGCCAATGATGCTGGAGAGTTCTCCGTCCGCGCGCCCAGTATTGCGATTGTCTGACCGCATTCACTTGTACTCACCTTAAGCCGTCCATTGGATGGCACTCCTTCCATTCGTTCATTGCGACTGCCCTACATTGCCTTGCGGAAATATCTTGCTGTCATGGGTTTAATCCCCATTTCCATATGTAACCACGTAACATTGTAGTGCCTCTATGAGTTTTATTTGGACATCATGTTAATAGATATTTGATATCCTGCCGTTTTAATAGTACCCTGTTTGGTGTCGAAAGCGGTAGTGGAGGCTGAACAAGAACTCTTAGTCGTGAGCTTGTTCCTCCGTAATTGTGGGGTGCGATTTCCGACAAATCTCTCCGTGAACTTGGGCACAGGATGTCGAAGCCCATCCTTACGCCGTTTGTAAATGTATGCTCACTAACGAAACTGGTGGGCTGTTGGCAGTCCCGCTATGTATAGTAATGTACATGTCAATACATTACCGGTACAACATTAGTGTTATTAACACGGCGTTGGTGTACCAGGTCCGATTTCATCCCAAGAGGAACGGCAACACAGGCCCAGGGGGGGCGGGGGTATTTCGAAGAATTGTGAGGAGACCAAAAAGCTGTTTTTGGCTTGCCGCCGATGCAAACCTGGCCTTGGCATCCCCACTAAAGAGTCGTCCCCAAAGAGTACTTTCTTCTTGGCTCTTCCTCCTACTGTGTATACTTTGATTTACTTTGGCAGCACAGGTGCCAATATTCAGGTGAGATAGAGCTGCTTGCAAGAGACCCCCATGTGGGAGCACGTAAACCTCTAATGGCTGCGCCAGCTTTTGCTCAGTCCCCGTTGTATCTAACGCCCTTCAACACCATCATCAGCCATTCTTCGCTGCAGAACCAAACAGCCAGTGAAGACGGCTTTAGCGGTGTACCGTTCAGCCAAGCTCGACGGCGAACTCGTCCTGGCTTTGGACTAGTGCTGTTGACACTTACTCCCTTCAGCTTTGGAAAGCATAGGCTGCAGCTCGATGGAGGGTGTGACGCCTGCCATAATTTCTTCTCACAGCGTCTCCCGTGCCTTGGCAGAGTAAAAGCCCACGACCAGCAGTCACGTACATTTATCACGTTGGGTCGCAGTTTATTTTTAATACGAAACTCAGCCAACTTTCTGTGTGTTTTATTGATTACGCAGGTTGATAATCTAATTCTACCAACTCAACTCTGTCGTCGACGTGCCTTTGCACGATGGCTTGCAGGTCTTTCCGTACGCCAGGGGATGCCGCAACTTGGTCTGTTAGTCATAATCCCAAAATTGGTGTTCCAATATTACTTGCCTGTGACAATCATGTCGCCTCGCGTAGAGGCTTCCGCCTGTACCCGTTTGATGTATTTTCCCTCAACCTCTTCTCTCATTATAGAGCACCAATCGGGCAAGCCCTTGATGACTTCAGCCCTTGGGCTTATTTTTTTCTGCCTATCCACGCTCTCGACATACACAGATATCTGCAGAATCTTCACTCCAATAAGCACTAAACCTGGACAAAAGGGCAAATTTGCTTACATAACCGTTGTCCAGCGTGTCATCAACAAGCGCGTTGTTCAGTAGACTTTCAATTGCAATCGCCAAATCTGCCAGTATGAGAAGTTGTCACATGTATGGCAAACGCAACTTACCAATTGTTTTCAATTCCCAAACAAGATGTATACGGCGAGACCGTGCCTTGCGGCTGTTGTACCCGTGTAATAGCTCCTTGAGATACGGCAGTTGCGCAGCGATCCCATACCCGCTAGCGACCATTAGGACGACCTCGTAGTCGCCAACTGGAATGCTATTGCCATGTGGCCCGCTGAAGAGGGCACGGCAAAGATCTTGTCGTGTCTGGCTGCGATGGAGAAGGTGCCGGGTGAATCCCGTGCGAGGCTCGATCAATAAATCCAACGTATCGAGAGGGGCGTCAGACCAAGATGCCACCACAAATGGATGATACTCAATGAGAGCGTGGAAGCTTGTCGACGGTATGAACAGCCAAAGACAGATGTACTGGCCAGCCTTCACACGGACCGGACGGGATAGGACAACTCTGACGAGCACGGCGCCTTTTGCGTGCATAATATCGGCGCGAGGGAGCCGAGAACGAAAGATGCCGTTGCGATAAATTACGAGAAGACCGAGAAGCATCACGGAGAGGCCGGCGATCCCAACTAACACATATACATGGAGTCGAAGGAGTAAGCGCTGTGGAGCGATGTGCACCCAGATGCCGTACACCGATACGATCGCCAGACACTGGTGAGCGCGGACAAACATTTCGTACCATCGATATCTGATTACGGGGAGACAAATAGCTACAGAGATACCAATAGACGCTGCTGCCTGAAATGCCATGGTCAATTGTCTGTGGTCAGCCGCCAAGACATTGACCTAGACTCACCACGATTGCCCATTTATTCTCTGCATTTGCAATAGCGAAGGGAGCCTGTGAAAACGCAAACACAACGATGTGAAAGATGAGTAACAATCCAGTCATTATGCCCACAGAACCATGGAGTCTGCGAACCGTGCGCAACCGCAGGCCAAGAGTATTGGTCAAGGCATCAAGGTGTGGTGTTGCGCATAGAAAGATGAGATTACCGATGCATATGTCAGCCGCTCGTCGTCCTGCTGCAACAAAAGAGGGGATTCTGAAGCAGACCGAGAACACATTGACTCCCAGGTAAACGACTTCTGTCAAGACGTCAGCACGGCTCCATTGCACCTTGAAACGTTGACTATGGACAATGGTTTGGTAGGACAAATGCTTCAATATAGGTTTGCGCAGGGAAGCCCCTAAAGCTCTCAGTCTTGACCTGAAATGATAGCCAAGGAGAGCGAGCGCGACTCCGAAGAGAGCCAGTGAGTAGGCGATGATGACGCAGTCTTCGAAGGATGCCATTACAACGCCAGAGAAGAGATGGGAGAACAGCAGCAGACAAAGGGAAAATGCTATATGTCTTGCAGGCGAGAAACCTGCACGTGGCGGGTTGCGGGTTTGGTGGCTGCGTTGACAAGTCCGGTTGAGGACCAAAAGTCCTCCACTACGATAGGGAGCAAAAAGAGGCCAATTTCTGCTGATGTTGACCCCCAAACGTTGGCAAGCTTAGGAACAAGCCGGATGTGGCCGAGAAGTTTGCCATCAATGGGTCATATGAGTATTGCAGCATCTGCTGCAGGTATTGCTGATTGGAATCGAGGCTTCTATAATGAGATGATGGAAGAAGAGGATAGATCCTTGACAGAGAAGGCTGTCGGTGTCGACCGACGCGCATTCCAGCTTCTTACTGGCACAGTCAGCTTATACGCGATATCCTTGATTGATCAGCAGTGGGTTAAGCTCAAAATGCTTATTGGTGAAGGCGAGGATATAGAATCTAGGCCTTGTCGGTGTGTTATGCGAGAGCAGTGGCTTCTACCCTGCTATCATGATCTCTGGAAAGTGTACGATACAGGAATACCTCTACCTAGGTCACTGGTTCACCCTAGATATTGGCTTGCTGGTCACGTACACAGATCTCGAGAATGGGCGCCATCATATGAGTCAATTACACCGCTCATTATCTCACCGAAGCGAGCTAGGGTAGAAAGTGCGCTTCAAAAGCTAGTACAGCTACGCGATGAGTTCGACGGAGAGGAAAGAGATAAATTCGAGCAGGAATTGCTTGCCCTGGCTGGTAGAGGTGAAGCAATTGCTTCTAATTGTAGGGCAATTGGAGCTATTCCAATATCTGCGCCGGAAGCACTACCGAATCGACGAGCAATTGGTCGACGAGAAGCTACAAGGACCGGACGACTACTTACCGCTTTAGAACAGCAAGAACGCGATTCACAACGAGTACAACGAGAAGCAAATGCCCAGTCTCGAGACGATGTGATACTATCACAGCGACAGGCAAGCCAGGGCAGTACTATCGTCGTGAATGTCGATCAGGGCGATACGCAGCTTACGGTAATAGTATCATCATCATCTGGGGCTAATTCTGAGGCGTCGGATGAAGAGACTACTGTAGCGCAGCCAGTCTCAAACTGAATCCCCAATTCTACGACCACCATCATCTACAGCACCTCCAGCGGTTGCCGGTGAGATCAGAAGCAAGCGACGACGAGCTCAAAGTGGTTTCTACGCCGCATTGATGGATGACGATTCGCAGGAGATGAAGCGAAGGAGATGACGATATTGCCAGAAAATTGCGGGATCACATGAAATCGAGTGTAGCTGCGCAGAAGGGGCTGATTGTATTGCTGGAGAATTATCCGAGGAATAAAAAAATGACAAGTTATTCATTATGCAGGCGCCTACCAAGCCACTGCCAAGAATCGGTGTGTGGCGCAAATAGGTGTCGAAATCGGTGTCCCGATCATCACTCGATCCTGACTTTAAGGAACCTCGCCGCCCGTCCTTCAGCTGACAATCCTTCTCCGAATAGGACACATGAAGATGCTAGCCTATCGCCTCCTGACGAGAGATCTGGAACCAAACCTGCATCACCAGAGAGACTACGACAACAACACACAGCTAGGATTTTGTTCAGTGGATCACCCAGTCAGCCGCACATAGTGCTCGGAACGCCTATTCCATCAACCCAACGAAGCTCGCAGCTTTCTAGGTTTCTGGCTCTCTCGCCGCTTGTATAGCTAACGAACTATCTAATCTTTCCGCATTCTGACTTTTCTACTTGCCGAAGCAGCGTTCATGTAGATGGTGGAGGTGGTACCCACAAGTCATACCTCATTAATGTGCTCTCCGCGCACCTCCAAGCCGCCGCCGGCGGGAGAGGAACACCTGTTTGGCGTGCCGCGCCAACAGGCGTCGTGGGAAATCAGATATCGGGCACTACCTTTCATTCCCTGTTACACCTCCCAATCAATAAAGACCTTCAAGTCTCTTCTTCCGTCGATAAGACCCAGCTCCAGAAGACGCTGAAGGCTATCAAGTACCTGATTATCGACGAGAACTTCAGAAGAGCATGTTAGGACTGCGTCAGCTATCATGGATCGATGACCGTCTCCGCGAGGCCTTCCCGAACAAGAATGAGGAGTTCTTTGGTGGTCTCAACATTCTTCTGGTTGGCGACTTCTTCCAGCTCCCACCCCCCGTGCTACAGAAGCCGCCTGATTACGATAAAGAGGTGCAGGGAGTAGAGATCAAAGGCGGGAACACGTATAGACGCTTCGATAAATCGGTCTTCTTGAAGGTTGTCCAACGGCATCGGGGCGACGATCAGAAGGCGTTTCGCACAGCTCTCGGGGAATTGCGGCTCCTCCAACTATCGGTCGAGTCCTGGAAACTCCTTTCCACCCGAGTACAGGCAAAACTAGATGATCAAGAGGTCGCCAGGTTCGCCAACGCCTTAGGAGTATACGCGACTAAAGATAGGGTGAACGAATATAACCACTACCACCTCGACCGCCTCGACCGCCCAGTCATTCAGGTCAAGGCTAAGAATGTTGGGCCCGGCGCGGCTGCTGCTCCTGACGACAATGCGGGCAACCTTGCGAAGCTGATCCCCATATACATTGGCGCCCGTCTGATGCTGACGTACAACCTTTGGCAGCCAGTTGGCCTCTGCAACGGCGCACGAGTTACCGTTTACGACATCGGCTGGGCGCCTGGGGCCGACCCCGTCCACGACTCTCCCTGTGTTATCATGATGGAGTTTGACAAGTACAGCGGGCCGGTGTTCTTGACCACCGCTGATGGCAGGAAGATTGTCCCGATTCTCCCTGCAGAGAGAGACTTCCTCATCGGAGCCACTTGTTGCACTCGCACCCAGTTTCCCCTGATTGTATGCTACGCTATTACCGTTTACAAGTCGCAAAGTATCACTGAAGATTTGATTGTTACTGACCTCTCCTGCCGGGACTTTCAGACTGGTCTCAGCTACGTAGCTGTCTCGTGTGTGAAAACGCTCCAGGGCTTGATGTTGGATGCGCCATTTGATCGTAGTCACCTGTTTTATGAGTCTCCCCCGGATGGTATGAAGATGAAGATGAGGGATCAGCGTCATAGGAGACAACAGGTTCTTACACGGAATCCCTACAAGACAGACCAGAGTTCTGTATAAATAATTACAAAATTTCTCCAGGGGTTAACTAGTTAGATAACTAACTAATGAAACGGTTCTATTGTAATAATTGCTTGGCCCACGGACTCTCAGCCTTCGGATGATCCTACCCCTTGCAGTCAACAGCTCTAACGTGCAAGGGGTGGCGTAGTATTTTAGATATATATACAACTATATATACACCAAGTACCATGCCTTGATAGGTCGCAGGCACGACTAGCTACCTCAATGCGAATAACTGTCTACTATTTATCGGCAGCTGTCATTATTACCGGGTCCATTGTCCTTGCAGCCTGTGGAACACACTTTCATGTAATTGACGACGCCGCCATCGCCACCGACACAGTAGTACAGAGATGACCTGATATCATGGTCGGTTCTAGGTGCACCAGCACAGTGGTTGGCCTGGAAAAGTTGCTCGTGGTAGGCACCTATGAGTTCCACATTAGCATACATATTATTGTTTGAGTTCCTGGTAGCGTCTCACCGATGTCAATGAGCGTCTGACCACAATAAACAACACCAGGAATGCAGTTGCGAGCAAAGACAAAGGGTAAAATTGCCAGGACGGCTGAGATAAGAGAGGCCTTCATTCTGAGGTGTTGTTTATTGGATGAATGTGAGATATGTTGATGAGAAGGCAGGCTGTGATGGATAGAAGTAATCCATCCCGGACAAGACGGCCCTTTTATACAACTTTCTCATGCATGGCTTTCATCACATAGTCCGATGTTGTACAACGCCTTCCTTCGCGAGACTTAAACGATGCATATAGCCAATACTCACTAGTTCCATTTGAATAACTCGTATCTTCTCACATGAAGCATGATACTGCTACGTAAACTCATCGTGTGATCCAGGGCCCGATGCAAAGTACTCCCCACATCGGCCACTGCCTATTGCAGATTGCGGTGTAACTAACGGCAAGCATACTTTGCTGGTCAACCAACAGCCAATTTAACCAGTAGCTCCATTAATGTCAGCAACATGATCTTAGGACGCCCTATAACCAAGTATGAGGAAGATCATTCGTAGTTTCGTATCAAGAGAGACGTTCGATATCTGTGAGAAATTGTTACTCTCATATCGCTTCTCGCTGACGGTCCGAGTGGCTCAATATGCCCATTAAACCCCTGCAGGAGGCGGGTGGTAAAATCTGACAGATTGGACGGGCTGTGGTCGCGTTAGTCGCGTGCCGTCTCGCGCTAGTTATGCTAGACGGCTGACCAGACATGCAGATTTCAAGCTGGCTTCGTGCAGCACAGAAGTACTATGCCTACTGAATGCAACGCAATCACACCGTTTAGGTTACTGCCATTAATTGTGACTCGTTGTGACCCATCATGACTTCGTTGTGGAGCTTGCAGTAGGTTAACTATGTAGGATTATGTAAAGTTCTAACGTGCGGAGCGTTGGCTGGATCGGCTGCGAAGTCCGAGAAGATTACCTGCGTGCCTGCAAGACGGGAAATTTACTCCAATTCGGGAATGTTGCATTATGTTGTTGGTGAGTTGTTTATTCCTCTAACCGCATTGAATGTGCTTTGAGCCAGGGATCAGTTTGTGAACGACAATTCGGCCAACAGCTGTCGGATAATGGTGCCTCTGTTGATTGACCCCGCAACTGTTTTGCTGCCTGGGTGGCAACAGCAGTAATACGAAAGTAGTAAAATATTGAGTTTCCGCTGTGTAACGAGGAGAGGGAGGCAGATATGAATATACAAGAATTCAGCGGCGCAACGCGACAACAGCAGAATAGTACATAACTCCATCCATTACTTGCCCACCTGGGCCTACTACTATTGCCTGGTTAGGCCTTCGTCACATACTTTGTATGGCGGATAGTCGCACTCACTCACACCAAAACGCGTCGGAAATCACTCAGGCCCTCCCACAGAACCACGTGATCCATCGCGTCTGTTCGCTTAGTGGGTGGGTCTGAGTGCCTGAGGCCTCGCGGCTAGCCTTTCGGGCATCAACTGCCCCTCAACACTGCCCCACTGCATTTTTCATCAGGCAACGTCATACTTTCAAGCCAATGTTAAGATGGCGCCGGTAGACCCAGCGTAGCACAACCTTTAGTGCACTCCACTCTCTGTTTTTAACGAGTGCTTCTTTCTCAAGATCCTTGTATTCGCAAAATAGTCAACTTTGGTGGAGGGGAAAATTGAAGATAGCTGCTCTCACGAGCCAAGCGATGGGCAGGTAGTAGGAAACCGGGGAGAATGGAAGCAGTCAAGTCTAAACATGACTGAACTAGTGGACGTGCCAGAGGCACTCTAACGGATCCAGTAAGTTTCAGGGTTTTCAGGGGTTTCCGGGTCTCTCGCGAACCGATTTGTGCAAGATAAACGCAACCGTAAGATACATGTTTAGTAGATAAGCTATGTATTGTACGACTCTAACTCCTTCAATATTGACGTGACTTTCTAGATAGAGCCTATGCTTTGCTATCTAGACAAAGGCGCATATGCAAACTCTCGATAATTTGCTCGTTATGCGTTTAAAAGTCCTCGAGAGAAACGTCCTGGTTTGGAAGTATTGGCCAGTCTCTCCCCCCACCATCAGATAAGACTGTGATAGCAACCTTGCCATGACTTTCGCTTAATTCCTTAATATTGCCGTATGAAGATGTGTTTAATTGGTAGATTTGCTTGACAAGTTCAAGCGGAGCCCAGGAGTTTGCCGATTTAAAGGTCCACCAGGCTAGATGGACTGGTTCTACCTCGGTGATTGCTGCGTTGCTAGTCTTTGAGTACTTTTGCAACCCCCGGAAGAATGTCTTCATGTCCTCGCGTGTAGCAGCGGCTACAAACCATCGGCCCCAGTCACCAGGGTTACTCCTATTATCTGTCTGTATGAGATGGGCATAATAGGGGCTAGAGTGATGATAATTTGCATGAGACATGATGAACTCAATAGTTGGTAAATGTGCTCAAGGTGTAGGTGAGAAGGTGAAGGGAATAGAGGGCAAAACAGCGCGTCTGGCTAACAAGGCAGTGATTTATATATTTATTTCTCCAAGTAGGCGGGGATTGACTGCTTCTGTCAGGAGGCCCGGGGGTTCAGCGAAAAGTAATGTTGTTACCGTGGACGTCCCCGTCCGGCTACTATTGACTCACATTATGCAAGGAGCCAAAGGCAGAAATATGCGTAGGACATCCCGCCACATCTGTCATATATCAACATCCAACTTGCATAGCATTTAACCTATCATATTGCTGATTACGATGCGTAATATGTGACTCTTGCTTTAGGAAGCAGGTATATGCAATGTAACAAAGCATGTTTTAGCTGCACGCAGGCTGCTAATACCCAAGGCCATGCAAAGAGCGCAAGAGAGGAATGAAAGTATGAGATACATAGTATCGGTCATGTAATTATGCTTTACTTTTAAGGTCCGCTGTCTGGCTTTCGTCATACTAGCACACTGTGGCTGCATCAACCAACTTGTCCCCGACTCGGTATGTTCTGCCGCTAAATGTATCTCTTACACCAGAATATCGCTATGTCGTGTTTGGACTCTGGATTTCAGGTCTTGCCAGCAGACTACCAATGCCGCGATATAACAGTGAATTACATTCTAGTCTTGTCTTGCGCTCTTTATCGACTTGATTGCTGGCTAGACTACAATTAATTGCGCACCTAGTCTTGCCAAGCAAGTTGGTCTGGATCGTTTCGAGTCAAAGGACAGACGAGAATCAACGACCCCAGACTGACAGAATGGCATGGCAGCTGGCCATGTCCTTGGCAGTAACCAATCCCAAAACTTGGCCTGCTTTACACGCATGTTCCAAGATTATTCCCAGGCGTGCTTCATGAGTGAGACAAACCACGGCAAGTGGGATGTGTGCTAGTCAACCACGTATCAGTTAAGAGCAATCAGGACCCCAAGACTGACCGGGAGGCAGTCTGGCGTTCATATCTGCCGTTCTCCTCTCTCGGAAACGTCGCTTCAGCACCTGGGAGAAAACAAGACCATATGATGGCAACGCCCATGCATAAAATACCCCATATAGGTACGAAGCATAGACACGATGTCACATTCATGCGGGGCAGCAAATCTTTTGTGCAACAGTCAAGCTTTCCGAATTAGCGCAGAATATTGCAAACAAATTTTGCCGTTGCATGTTTAACCCTAATCAAGTGCCCAAGAATGCACCCAATTATGGGTAGGATGTCGGTCGTAGGCTTTCAGACTTAACCAGGTCATTCGTTCCAGTAGGAGAGTTGGAATACCGTAGTGAAGAGTACTTAAGCAGTGCGGGCCTGTTGCTAAATCATGTCGTCCATGTGTAGTAGCCGATAGTGCTAGACGACGTGAGCCCGATCAAGTGATTAGCGTTGGGTGTAGCATTCGTTCCGGTACGTGAGCTTCCAATGCCCTGCCGAATGTCATATCAAAAGACTCGGCGATGGAACACGACGCTCCAGCCCATCTCCGCTGAGCAACAGTCAATCGGGGAAAGAGTCTGGTGTGTTGTATTAATAGCAAGCCTGCAACCGATGCCTTCTCCCCAGTACAGATATTAGAACACCTTCTGTCGTGGAACTCAACCAAGAAACTCCCAACCCTCTTTTGTTTGGGCGGGGGAGATACCTGCGTACAACTCCGTGGCGACAAATAGAATCAGATTGCAGCGTGTCTTGCATAAAGGCTGTTTGTTTGTCCACAGACTTAGACACTGGCTAATTGATGCCGACTTCATAACAAGGGCTCGTTTTGAGGGTGGAACTAGGATAGTGGTCTGATAACGTTCCCCTTGGCAGCAGGCTGTGTAGGGACAACTTATCCCTTTAGCTGCTGAACTGTACCCTTTTAGCGCGCCCCACCTCGACTATTCGATACTAATCACGACTCGTTCCAAATACCCCCTCGACTTACAGAATAGTTTCTGCAGCAAAAAACTATGGAATAATGGAAGACGATTTTATTCCTACCTTAATTAACACATACGGGTAGCAAATGCGTAAGCATGTAAAGAGGGTGACTATTGGATCAGTAGCGTCATATGTATCGAGAAGTGCATAATCGAGATTCTACCGATATAATTGGCCAAGATCCCTGTCACGCTAAAAGGGTACAGTTCAGCAGTTAAATGGATACGCAGGGTATACAACTCATCTGCTTCTCCTGGGCTTTGCCAGGGATACATCATCCCCTCTCCAAAGTTGGTCGTGGCGGTTAATGCGATCGGCTGGGACAAGGTCTCTTTCAGGTGCAGCGAAGTCGCGACCCGAAAAAGTGGGAGCGCGGCACGAGTACGCTCACCGATCTCCTGGAGTGCAAAAAAAACTGTGAACTGATTAGAACAGGGAACAACTGCCTTATGAGTCACTTACGATGGGGCCGCAGTAGTTGCTCGAAAGGCTGAGTATCCAAATACAAGCTGGAAGAATACGATAGTCTGCAAAACGGCCAGCCCGGCTCGATGGTTCAGGCTGTGATGTGGATTGATTGATTGATTGATTATATTTTCCGTCCAGCGACTTCAGTCGCTCAGGTACCCTAGTAGTAGTAAGTTTATTACGCCCGGAGGGCTTTTCCCTATAGGGCCGCTACGCTAAACTATCTGAGCAATCTACACTTGTGGCTATAACTCCCAAAGCCCCACGCTTCAAGTATCTTGCATTTCGCTCAGCCTCTAATATGCCACTGGCAGGTCTGCTTGAAGGCTAATTTCTCCAAGTGTTCAGCATCCTATTCTCAGCAACTGAAGCACGCTCCGCCAAGATTGCGGCTTTTCACAATCCAGCCCAGGCCATTGCTACGTCGACGTTTGTTATTGGATCTTCAATCATTTGGTCTCCATCACGAATTTAATTGCAGCTCGCACAGCCTTCATGTCTGGTGCCCACTTTTCGCCGTCAGACGCTGCTTTGCCCCCAATGAAGAAGGACAAGTTCCCTATTTTGCTCCTCGAAACCTTGATTAATATTTCGCGTTGTGCCTTCAACCTTATGCATCGAAATAAGAAGTGCTCGATGGTCCCTATCGGGGCACAGGACGTGCTAGGCTAGTTTCTAGGCTCAAGATAGCTTTATGTACATCGCCGCCATATCATCACAATCTCACATGGCAGAAGACGCCAACCATCCCCTGCGTAGGCATCTCGCAGCTGTCACCATGACCAGCCACAAAAACAGCTCCAGCTCCCTCCCGCAAGTAGTGACAGAATGCGCCAATGTCCAACCCCCCATCCGACCCAGACACCATCTAGCATTTCATCGGCTCAAAGGCGCTCTCTGTCAGGGCCCTCACCCGTCAGCGGGATATCTTGGGCATTCGGCTCTCGCCTTACTGGTCAACCCTTGGTTTTGTCCGGTCAGAATTCTCTCGCGTCCTCGCTAAAGCTGCTGCCGCAGTCCATCCTCCAGTAGCCAAGCAATGGAAATAGCGCAGGAGCGGCGGCAGGGAAAAATCCTTCGAAGGAGTCGGAGACTGTCTGGCAGCCCAGACAGCTTGCCTTCAGGGAGAAAAACCTCCGCGACCAGCCACCGTTGTTTAGAAGAGCTGGCCTTCCAATACCCATAGCTCATTGGTTCCGAAAGAGACTATGAGGTCCGAGTGGACATGATTGTCGAGACCGGCTTTGCAGAAGATGATGAACTCTCCTAAGGTCATTTTCTGTGCTGTTAGTGAAACGATGGGCACGAGCAGCGAAAAGCGCGGTCGAGTGGCCTGCAGATTTTTTACCCCACTACCAGGCTGCTAACAGCTCCATGGAGTGAAAGATTTTTACAGGGGAGAGTTGGCTGTGATGTGGATGTGTTTCGTGAGTCGCATGTCGGGTAACGGCGTGTAGAATTGTCGCCAGTTCTGGTAAGACGCTGAATTAAGTAATATTTTTCAGGCCAGGTGGAATGGCGACAGACTTAGGGCTAAATTAAAGGATAGAAAGGCATGGGCAGGTTGGACCAAGAAGTTCTGGCGTGTGTGGCCAACGACGTAATCTAGTTCGTGTGAGGTATGTAATGAGTTGCGGTTGCTCACGCACGTGTACGCTGCTTCAAAGTGAATTCCATCGATGAGCTCACGTGCAATGTTCCACGATAAAATGGTGCATGGCCTGTCGGCGCAAGCCCAATATTAGGTGGGGGACCTGACAATAGCAAACGTATCTGTAATGCCTACGCAGGCTTTTAGGATGGTGGGCTCAGATGACAGGTTAAGTAGCAGCATAGTTTGGGCGACATCAACGTGATTATTAATACAAAGAAGCCAGTTGGCTGGGTAGATCACGTAAAAAAAAATATGATAACACACTGAGGAGTTGCAATTTCATGTATGCAGGCGTATAAGAATAGCTGTCAGCGTCGCTGACGTAGTATGTCCTATAGATAGAGCATGGTTGGGTATATTAAGGGGGGCTCGCCGCGGGACCCTGGACCCTAGACTGCATGCCTTCCCGTCGCTACAACCACTCAGCCTTTCAAACCACCAAAATTATACTTACAATTATTGCATCTATTTACGCCGTCTATCGCGCTGGTATTGTGGCCGAGATTGAGCAGGCGGAAATAAAATTTCTGGGGCTCATCGTGCATTTTACCGTGCATTTGACAATTGCACTTGCAGGGTTCAATATATCTCTAAAGTGCAATGGCACAGTCGACATAATCCGGCTCACGTGGCTTCTTTTGGACTATTAAGAGGAGGGCCGGAGGTGTCTGTATGGTCGCAGACTTGACATACAGTCGAAGTTGAGAAGGGTCTTGAAACCTTTGATTCTAATAGCTGAACTTTATCTTCCATCCTTGGGCAATGTCAGGGCAGATCTGTCGACAGGAGGCACGTGATTAAACCTGGAGAAATATTTCTTCGTACATCTTTTATCGCGGCTACTTGGGGTTTGGCAAATGCCGTAGGCAATTTTGCATACAGTATGAATAGAGATATTTATTTAACCCGTACAGTACGAATTTGGTACCAAATTTCTGACAGAGTATATGATCCAGTTCAAGAGAGCCGATTCTGGACTTGGTGCATTTTTGACCGCCTCACATCCCTGCCACATCAATGACAACCCCTATCGTCTCCTTGAACACTATCCAAAAGCCGTTTTTGACACCAAATAACTCCCTACGCCGAGGGCCGAATTCTACCCATTTTTGCAGATAGAGCTAGGTATGTATTGTATTTAATAAGTAAACAATATCGACAAGTGACTTTTCAATTTTTTCTGCACCGGGTGTGTCTCATGTTTGAATGCAGCAGGTAGAGATAGTAGGCGAGGAACAGCCAACTGTGCCGACTGCGATGGCCAGTACGGGGGGGGAACTAAAAATCGTGTCCCCCCAGTCGTCTGTGCGGCAGGTTCAACTGTCTGCCCCAAAGCAGGTATGAGGGGTACTTGATCCACCTTACCTGTGCAGCCATTGCTTGTTTGATTGCGATAAGTACCGGAGTTATCAGGTACTTGTAGTCCGTCCATCGCCCACGTAGCGGCTGCAGCTTTGGCCTAAGCTTCATTCTCTCCACGACGACCATGAGGCGGCGGGTCACGTACGGCCCGTAAAAGTCTGAACGTGAAGTCCGACGCCGCAATGCCCACATACGGTCTCAAAGCGCCACGATCGTTAGCCCTTCCCGCAACTCAAATGTTAATCAGACGGACGTCGTCTATGTAAGGCAGGCGTACAAGCAAAGATGGCTACTGTGCACGCTGGGTGTGGCCACAAAGAATTTGTAACACGATTCGTGTTGATTGATAGCAGCCTTGTTACCGCCGATAGGAAGTGGCTTTGTGTTGTGCATTTACGACGGGCGTTCCGGCGACATGGTGGGTGATTGCGAGCAGATTTGCCTACCCAAAAAAAAGAAAAGAAATTGCTCCGAGCTCAAGGAAGTGGATGCTAAGACTGTTGACGCTGGGAGGGGGAGAAGATTATTCTTATTCTTTTTGGAGGGAGGAAGTAGATTCCTTGATCTACCAAGCTTGGCTGGCGTGTGTGGCATGCGAGTTCTCGCTCCAGGCAAGCCTCTTCGTGTAGACAGTATAGAATGGGGTGCAACAGATTACCAGCGACATAATTTCGACACTTAAAAACACGAGTAAAATTTGTTAGTTTCTACAGTTCTTGCGCAAGCCGTGACCAACAGAACATCAGAGCCCATGTACCAGTTGATTCAGCATCCAACGCCGCTCGTAACCCCCAGCTGCAGAGTCCACCGAATGCCCATTCAGCCACCTGAAAGCGAACTTTCAGGTGGCTGATAATTGTGGCTAACTCTATGATCCTCGGTCTTAGAGGAGAAGGTTCCAGAAATGTTTTGGCACGACTTATATATTCCACTCACTAAGCCCAGAAGAAGGAAATGCACAGAGCACACAAAGATAATGGACGCAATTCAAGCTTTGGCAACGCAGCTGATGCGCGAGTTTCTGAAACACTGCGACATAAGTGATCATAGTCTCGAGCCTTTTAATCAATCTATTCTTGATATGGCTACAGTCGGTGAGCAAGATAAACAAAAGCCAAGGTATTTTCCTTTTTGCTTAGACAGGATGCTCACACTGCGCAGTCTATAGGGCCAGAGTTGAGCGTGGAAAAGAAGGCCCCCCACCTCCTCTGCCACCAAGTAATAGTGATTGATGGCGCTACCCCTCACCGATCGAAACGCGGATCGCCTACGGAATCAAGCCGTCCGGGTAAAAGGAGCAAGACAAGTTTGTCACCCCACGAAGTATCTGTCTGACTTTTGACCCTTGATGCGATCTTTTTCTCCTTCCCAAAGTGCCCTATGCTGACAATATTAGATCCCGCCTCTGCCGACCAGGTGATGGACACCATCTTGCGAAAATGTGTAGAGCTACATTCCAAACGTGCCCAAGTTGCTGGTGACAAGAGCTGGATACCAGTCAAAGCCAGAAAGTACAATGGCGAGGTTAAGAAGTACGCCGAGGATATCGTTGTGTTAGATTTTCGTGACGCAGTGAGGAAACTTAACGAAGAAGTTGGTCATTTCGCGTGTAAGGCCATCCAAATTATTTACAACGAAGCGCTATACTGGGATATTATCCAGAAGCAGGCGGACGTTCTGGACCCGCTCAGGTTGCGGGCCACTAAAGGCCCTTCAGATGGCTCTGGAGACGCAGAGAGAAAGGCCGCGAAAGAGTTGTCGACAGCACTCGGCCTACGTGGATTTAGCCCTACTAGTCAACAAAAATACCGCAGGCTTTGGAAGAATCTTGCAAATTGGCGAAAGGGTGGTGTCAGGATGATACTATTCTATCGTACAACAGATTTTGATAATTTTTGCGAGAAATACTCCGAAGAGGCGAAGACTCCTCTGGACAAAAAGATACTCTCATTGGAGGGCAAGTATGGCCCTCACATCCAGCAACTTGAGCATCGAGTGATGAAAGAGGCCCGGGGCGATATGACTGGGCGCATTTGGTTGCAGGAGCCATTCATTATGGAGAGGATAAAGGTTCCGGAAGAATCGTGGAACAATGCCAACAACCCGTGGCTTTCCGATGCAGAAGAGAGTAAGTACCAATCGAGTGCAGGGCATTTCAGGCGCCGGATGGCAACCAAAATGGCGAAAATGGCGAAAATTCAGACCAATCTGTCTTCATCACCCTCATTCCCAGGGATGAGAAGCTCGTTTACGTCTGTCCCATTGTCACCATCCATAAAGGGGACTATTTGGGGATATTCTCGGGAAATATTCGATATTCGGATGCCTTCGACAAAAAGCGTGGCGTTTGTGGACCAACGAAGGACCTTTGGTTAGATTACGGTCAGGTCACAGGAGTGCTAAACCAGATGAAAGTATCGCCACCGTACGGGACCGAGAACGTGCGCCTCGAATGGGAGCTTATTGACATTTCGGTGGGCATGCAGTGTCACCAAGCATGGAGGGTTGCAGTTCGCGCTCTCAGGACGATCAAGCCGTTTGAAGAGCTTATCCGTGCAGCTCGTCACGAGGACCAATATCTTCTGCATCGGGAGCCTGCTAACGCAAAAAATGGCTATTTGTCAGAGGGATAATGATAGTAATACATACGTCCAGCGATCATTTCGTATGGCAGAAAGCCAAATAGATTGGTACATACTATAGTAAGGCTGTGCGATGTGCCAGTCTTGGACCCTTTCGCCTTCGATCACGTATTTGTTATCTGCAAAAACAGCTTCCTCTTGCTGCAAACTCTTCAAAAATTCGACGTATTTCAACGTCGCTATTTCAATCAAATGGCTCTACATGCATGTGAACCATGAGAAAAGTCGACATGCCAATTTTCGGCTTCACACGTCGTGGATTTCAAGAGATGTTTTACAGTATGAAGTCTAAAGGAAATGCTATTTACTTGGGTATACCTTAAGAAACCCACCATATGCCCCACTTTCGTTCTATGAGCGAGATTGCAATCAGTAAAGCCATTTTTGGCAGCACGGGACGCAATTGAGTACCGCGAAGTTACTGAAAAGTACTCTCGTCAGCCCAAATGCTGAAAAGAGCGTGAAGAGGAAGCAGTCATGTCTATCCCGGCCCATTTCATTTGTCCCACAAACGCCCAGCAGACCGCACAAGTAAAGCAGCCGATTTTGGCTACTACAGGCTACAGGCGCAAAGGGCCTCTTGTGTCCACCCACCCAATGTGCCCCGTTTAACAGCAATAAAATGTATCATCTCCGAAAATTGCCTCATCACCATGCTTAGACGAAAATACGTCTTAATCGACAGAAAAGGCTCCTCTCAGCTAGTGGCTATGACAGCAGACTTTGGGGAAGTTCGATCTCATATTGGCTTCCCACTGCCTGGCTAGCCGTAAACAGCTCGATTCACCCTTGAGGACAATAGCTGGTGTATTGTACCTACACATGCATCATACTGTATTAGGACTGATAACCTATCTCAAAAGGGAAGCGACGGTACTATTTAATACGGTACGTATATGCTGATTACATGGTCTCTTCTCAAGCTTGCGCCCTGTTCCCGTCAGAGCCGTCCGCTGCTACTACATACAGCTCCGGTTTTTTGTTGTGATGATATATGCTAGCAGACCTGCTCAAAGGCTATTCTTTAGGTGTTCAAGAAGATCTTGCACAGCGTAGTAGTGGATTGTTGGTGACGGAGTCATCCACCATTGCTTCGGGCTCAGGTGCACGGAACTAATGGTGCGATATACTTCAACAGATGAAGGTAGCCATGTAGCCTCTTGCACAAGCACCGCCTTAGTGCGATTCAGTTAATCATATAACTTCCTGGTGCGCTTCCCTGGGTGATGCTAGGTTTACTCCGTTCTGCCAAACTTGACCAGGTAGACTATAATTTACGGGCAGTTTAGATCGCGTAGGGTTCATTGCGGTCGAGCGTATAACAGGTACCGCACATTCCTTCACCATGTTGTTGGCTTCTTGTGGCTACGATGTTCCCTCGGAATTGCCACGTGCCCGCCAAATGATAAATGGAGCGAATAAATACCTGACCAGATTGTTCCGGTCAGAGAGTACAGAGAGTGTCTCAAAATACCTCTTAAATATTTCCTCGGTGCCTCCCTACAGATTGTCTCGCGCCATAACCCATGTCCCTTGTCATGGCTTTCCGACAGGCGGGGCGCGAAGATAATGGTCTGGGCTGAGTGTTGACCCGCTGGACGACTAGTACCAAACATGACATGGTGACCACGGTCTGTGTTTGAAGAACAGCATGGTCACAACGATGGAGTGTTCCAAACCGTCCATTGTACCACGTCGGTCCGACAGAGCCACCCATGCTCCAGTGGCTCGATGGCGATCAATAGCTTTCAGCCACCTGAAAGTTCATTTTCAGGTGGCTGAATAACGTGGCTAGGACGAGTCTTACAAAGCAGATTCTCCGACGTAGAACAGTCCTAGCACGGTCCCGGTACATGTCGTATGGATAAGGTGTAACAGGCTGAGCTTTTTGGTGCACTCGGCTGATGCCGATGCAATAACTCCACCAAATGAAGGTCTCACAATCTGCTCCCGAGCATCGCCTATGTAAGCAGGTAACCAGCTCCTCGAGAGCATCTAGTTCCTCTACTCTGCCATGAATCCAATTGGTCGGTTTCTAACACCTTCTAGCTGAATAAGCCCCGTGCCCCTTATAACAGGTCGGTGAGAGCTTGAAGTCCTGGGCTCGCCGTAGACAATCTTGCTCAGGCGCTTCTGCCAAACGCAGAGTTGGTCCTCTCTAGGCACACGTAATAGCTATTTCACACTGAATATTGTCGTCGATTGAACAATTGAACAAAAGAAGGTGCGTCTTCTTGAATGATATATTAATACTAAATACAGTACCAATGCTGCTGTATTTAGCTGCAAGGGTTGCACTAGGGCTTTATCGAGGACCGATTGTCACTGCGAGGGTCCGACCTGTGGACGTGCACCCCTCTTCAGCGAGGTGGTTACCCCCAGAAGGAACCTCGAAGAGTCGTCCAGTATCCAACACAGCCCAACTCAAGTAATGATAGTAAGTAATTGGCAGTCCAGAAAGGCTTTCACAGCCATATTTGGCGTCCATGTTATATCATATACGTGACTAAATTCTGAGTCAGCCATTACTACGACCATATGTGTCGGGAAGAGAGTTTTCGTGGCACTTGTGTCGATATTTAGTAGCCAATGGCTTTTGTTGCCATTTTGAACGTATTTTCTTTGCTGAAATCCTGTTGGCGATGCCTCTTGAGGCGGTTCGTTTCTTCAGCCAAAAGCGACGGTTTACTGTATGTATCGAAAGGGTGTGGATATTACACCCCATGGGGTGTGGAAGGCGTGTGGTTAAAACCCGCGCAGAATAGCAGTGTCCAGAGCTGCCAGAATCCGCTTTTTATGGCTTGTGTACGTATTGACTTGAACGGGTGAAAATAGCACGGCACGATTAGAGGCCAGAAATGGAGGATTAACTCGTAGTACAGTACGCGTCGTTTAACGGGAGGGGCTCGAATCGTATCTTTAATGTTCATAATTGCCGATGTCAGCTATCAGACTAGGCGATCCCTTCAGCGCTGTTGTGCATTTCCGAATCATGGTACACTTTCATCTAACAATGGCTTCGAAAACCTCACTTTGATGAGCCATAAAAGCCATTACAGTCACTATAGGGGCATCCAAGCGGCATGTTGCATTTCACATAGAGAAGGGACAGAGAAGACTCAAACTGGATCATTTACAGGAGCATGTGTCCTCCATCGCCAACAAGGTATACTTCCCGACTAAAGAAATTTCATCCAAGAACGGCTGCACAACAAAGCAATGACTAGTCATAAAGGCCACCCACCAGAACTGTGGCAGACTGAGACTCAAGACATCTATTAATGCCTTCTCTGAAAATGAATCCGCCTTCCGTCAGCAAACGAGACAGGACAAATGACAATTTTGCTAGAGCTACTTTTCGTTTCATGAAAAGATGTGACCAATTGAGCCGGCGCTATGATGCGGATGTTTACCTACTCGTGCGGCGCAAACAAAGACACTACGACTACAAGTCCACAGATGACCCATCATTTCCCGTCTCGGCTCCTGACTTGGTGAGTTAGCAAACCTATTCTTGTCTCCTACCCTATACTCACAATCTTCAAAGGAGAAAATATATCCGCCAGTAATTAGAAAGACTGCATTGGACTATCACAACAAGAATTTGGGGATGGAAGCTGTTGGCTCTGACGGGAATAGAACTAAATCTTGCGAAGTTGTTACATAGGTTCGACTAGTTAAAATAATGAGCTCTGCAGTTTCATGTATGAATGTTGCACCGCGCCACTTAAAACTGTCAGTGCTAGCCTCACTCAGGCTAGAGAACTAAGGCGGGTCTTGCACCCTTGACCTGACAATCTTGTGCGCTGTCAAGGTCTGAACATCATCCTCCATGACTCGAGCTTGAATGCCTTCCCCGTCACCTCCTTGGAAGAGCACTCGACCTTGTAAATTTGGCCTGCCGCTGTAGTGTTTCTGGAGCCTTCCAGGACCAAATGTTAGCGGCAGCTAAGGCTCACTTGAAATAAGGTCTCCATAACATCGCAGCCAGGCGTTTTAGTCCACCACGGTCATCAAACGACTCCGAGGATGACTATACTGATATCTACAAAGCGGAATTACTAGCCAGGTGGGGTAAAAAATTTCTTCGTGCAAAGATGGGACATTGACGGCAGTACCGGTTGGGAGCCGCGGAGGAACATTCTGGACAAGAAAATGCTACACAACTTCGAGTCGAATTACGATGGTTTTGATGAGGGAGTGACGCACTGGATACGCATGAAACCAAGCGTGACAAGCCAAAACATCTCTGCCATTTCCATGGACGACCGGCGGGTGAGGACTCTTGGGTTGATGAGAAGTTGTTGAGCCCAAGTCTTCTAGAAAAAGTCAGGAAAAGTGGGCGGAATACTATTAAGGCGACCATGCCATTTTCTTGACTAAGGCGTCCTCTTGCCGTTCCGGTTCGCACATGGTTCGCCGTGGGTCGCCAACGCCACTCGTGCTAGGTCGTACAAATACTTCCATAAGCTGGCCAGAGTATCCCGCTGAATGTTCCGGTCATGTCCTGCTGATATGTTTAAAGCTAGTTCATATCCTGTCAAAATCTTTTCGCCAAACTGAAACTGTCCAACAGAGCTGTTCATCATTTATCATGCCACAGCAATTCCGACAATGACAAATCTACAGACACTGGATCGTGCTGTTTTGAAAGAGATGCGCGCGGCAGATGATGACCCAGAATCGCAGAAGGGCATCTTGATACCGGCTAGGGGTCATAATGCATTCGACAGGGAGCAACCCAGATGGTTTGTTGAATTATATTCACGCCACGTTTCCAAGTTACTGCAAGCAGCCCGTTTGCAATCCATGTTCTCGATCCTCACAAGGTCTATAACAACAAGTCCGGACTTATTACCGACGCCCACGGCACAGATTGGCTTGCCAGCCCCTGCCCGTTCTATCGAGATACCTAGATACAGACCGGATAATTCGAATCCGCATAGTAGGAGTGTCGATGAGTACTTTGACCAAACAAGTGGAGCAGTACCGCTGAGCCGACCAAGCAGCGCGTCAGATTCGTCCCACTCCAACGTTTTTGTCGCCCATGATGTACGACCGCATATACATAAAGAGCGGATTAGAGCACTCGTGAAAATCCTAGAGCCACTTTTGCCGCTGTCAGACTCTCCACGTGATACATGTATCCTGATATGCTGGGGGGAGAGCAGTAAGTGCGATATCAGAGGTGTATTCCTGGACGACGCGGAAAATGAGGCCGCCGTATGGCATAATATTCGCCACGCGTGGTTTGCATCCAGAAGTAATTGGAAGAAGCTGTTGCATCCCTTCCTAAAAGTCAAAGATATTGATATTGTTACGGTACGTATAAACACATGAGGACAAGTACCCGCTTTTAGGATATCTTTGACTGTTTTTTGAAGACATTGATTGCAGGAAAACATACACGAAGCAGTGAAGAGCCAAACCCATCGCCGCTTGGAGGAAAGGTTTCAGCTATTGATTACATTGGGACATTTTCCAAAGACGATATTACTTCGGAGACTAGTCGTCTTCAGGAAGATATTGCCAACTATGTGCCACAGGAATGGCCATGTTTGTACAACTCTGAAATTGGCGAAACTAAATGTGATATGGAGTGTGTGTCCTACAGTATTGATGTGGCATTGTGTCCCGAAGGAGAGCTTTTTAAAACTGAGAGAAAGTTGCAGAAGATCCAGATGAGAGCCTTCAGACGACTGACTGGCCTTTATGAACCCAGAGATTGCTGAAGTAAACAGCTTGCTCGATGGAGAGAGTCTTGTGTATACTCACAGGTAAGCACCGCGTCGTTGTTGCATGGGCCCAAATGCTTACGGATCTTAGGGATTTTCTTCGAAAGCTTGATGAATGGCACTGTCCTTCGATAGGAGAGATCCCTTTTCGAGCCATCTATATTGAAGAGGTTTGGGCATTCGATGACTTTGGCACAATTCTACCCCTGGTGACAGTTATACTGCTCTTGATAGTACTGTCTTGTAGGGCAGTATATGGAGATTGGGGCATCGCTTGGAACGTGGGTTGTTTCTTCGCGACGTTAGCTACCATTGTCCTTATGAACAAGAAAAAAGAGTAACCGCGAGTGTGGAGGGTGGACTTGAGTTCCGTTCGTACTTTAGTGAAATCAACAAGCAGTTGAAACGTGGTGTTTTAGTGTGCCCGCTCCCACCCACCACACCTGTAGTGACCGGCTATTCAGCATCAGAAGCAGACAGAGTTGGTTTAAGAGCCCCGGAAAGGTGGACTGCTTTGAACCTGTGCCCGTTGCCCACAACATCGGATTTGCAGATAAAGATAGCAGGGCGGACCTGGCTGCCAAGCTGGCGCTATTACAGCTACAAGGCTGCAGCTTGGCAGACTCTTCGACGAATGAAGAAGACGCTGTCTTGACAAGACGTCGACAGGAGCTGGCGAACCAGACAAAAAACTCAAGAAAGCGGCAGCCATTGCTCTGTAGCTCGCGAGCAGTCTAGCACTGACGGTTCATTTGCAGGCTGCAACTTACTGCTCTCATATTGCACAGATATTGTTTTCGCTATCACCACGCATTGCTTACTGCCGCCCAGAATGTCAGGGTTTAACCGTCATTAGCAGGGCACTCTATTGGCGCTAATCCAGGTTGCTGAGGTTGAAAACGGGGGCTGGATTATTCCTATTGAGCCTCATCCTTTTGCCTGGCCTTCCATCTGAAGCTGCCTGAAAAGCAACGCCACATTCTCCAGTTGGAGTGTTAGCTTCTTCTCCCTTGTCCAATAGGACTTGCGTGATCTTGACATGCCCTCGTTCAGAAGCGGCTTGAAGCGCATTGCCATGTAGTCCACCTTGAGTATAGACTTCAGCTCCCTTGTCAAGGAGCATCCGCAAAGCATTGAGATGGCCTCCTTCAGAAGCTGCCTGAAGAGCATTCCCATACCGTCCACCCTGAGCATTGACTTCGGCTCCCTTGTCTAGCAGTATTTGAACAGCATCGATGCATCCTCGCCGAGAAGCAGCTTGCAGAGCGTTGCCGTATCGCCCCCCTTGAGTTTTGACTTCCGCTCCCATGTCTAATAACATTTGCACAACCTCCATATGTCCTCCTCTACAAGCTTCATGTAGAGCATTGCTCGGATCTCCACCGACTTCACTCTCGTCGTTAACCTCGGCTTCATTATCCAATAAAATTTGGACAATCTCGAGATGCCCTTTACTAGCAGCTGCACAGAGAGCGCTGCCAAAATGCCCACCCTGAGCATTGACATTGGCTCCTTGATCTAACAGGATCTGCGCAATTTGAGCGTGTCCTGTGTAGGAAGCGGCCGCAAGAGCGTTGCCGTATTGTCCGCCTTGAGTGTTGACTTCGGCTCCCTGGTCTAATAAGGCTTGCACAATCTTGATATGTCCGCCTTGACAAGCAGCTTGTAGAGCAGTGTTCATACAACCGCCCTGAGCATTAACTTCAGCTCCCTGGTCTAATAAGACTTGCACAATCTTGATATGTCCACGGTCACAAGCAGCATGAAGAGCATAGCCATGAAATCCTCCTGGAACATTGACCTTAGCTCCCCTGCCTAGCAAGATCTGCACAATCTTGTCACATCCCACTTCACAAGCGGCGTAAAGAGCATTGTCAAATGACCTACCTTTTCCACCTTTTGCGTTAACATCGGCTCCCTTATCTAATAAGATTTGCACGATGCTAGTATGTCCTCGTGAGGAAGCGGCACAAAGAGCGGTACCATATATCCCACCCTGAAAATTGACATCAGCTCCCTTATCTAATAAGATCTCCACAATTTCGTGGTGTCCTCTGCTAGATGCCCAGTGCAACGCACTCATCCCAGCCTCATCCGCTTGATTGATCCGGCTCTTATTCCCTCTAATCAATTTCTGAACCATATTCTTGTGTCCGTTGAAGGCAGCAAGATGGATGCTGTCCATCTGTGTGCGAGGTAGATACGGTCCCATCGCTCCCCAGAATATGGGATACCATAGAGCAAAGCTTGGGTTAGGGATATCATAGAGTTGATCTAAACAAGTGTCTAGTTGAGAGTCTGTTTGAGGTGATATCTCTCGGACATGATCTGGCCAATACTTTGCGGCGTACCACATGAAATTTGACGTTTTTACTGTGATCTGGGACGGGCTTACACCCATGTTCGCTTCATTAACAGCGTCAAATAACAAATACCTGGCGCAGACCTCTGACATCAGTTCCTCAGCTTCATTCAGGTCAACTGACCATTCATGGTAATAACTTCTGTTCATCAGAAACTCTCTCGCTGTCTGATGTATCAAGTACACCCGTGAGTTGTTTACGAAAACAAAGAGTCCGCATAATTGACGGATCTTTAAATCCAAACCGTCTGGATTCAGCTGAGTTTTGGCTGCCGTTCGAAAATGAGTTCTTCGGGCAATCCCTAGCGCTATTGCCATTTCCTCGATCGTTAAAGGACGTCTCGCGCAGATTATGATCTGGAGGATTAATCTTACATCCGACGCTTTGTTAGGTGGCACTCGATTCAATATCTTCGCATATGCAGCACTAACCGAGCCAGGAATCAATTGAATCGATTCTTCCTCGGGCTGAAGGCTATTTCGAAACGTGGTTCGGATATCGTCCATGGCCAAATACAGCCACAGGTATGTACGATGTTCCATCTGGATAAGTTGATGCTCTAAACGTTGCTGTATCTCGGGTGCTAGCTGTAGACTTTCACCAAACTCCGCTACCCGTATCTTCACGACTAGACTGATCTCTTCATGAATCAAGTTGTTCTCTTCCTCGCCACGTATGTGGATATGGGGGAACAATCGTGTGGCTGGACGGAAACCTTCCTGTATCTCGCCATATGGACGACTAGTAACGAGGAACTTTAGCCAGCTCTGCCTGACTGCGGAATGACCTTGGGTATAAAACGTTTCTAGCTTCCTTATTAATTGAGTTCGATCGCTTGGTCGACATTCATCCAATGCGTCGAAAATGCAAACGGTGCTAGAATATGTGGGGTCGGATATTGATGCGACGAGAATGCGCCACAGTTCGTCCACCTCTTTCTGCAACTTCGTACCGTTTGTTTGCCAAGACGGCAAGGCGTGTCGTAGGAGATTCGGTTGCATTCCAAATAGTTGATGGAGTACAGCGCACAGTGCTGTTGCAAGATTATTTTGCTCAACATTGTCTTTGAAGAAAAAGTAGCACACCGAAACCAGAGTGGACGCCTTCAGGTCATTATCGACAAGGGATTTCGCAAGAACCGATTTGCCACACCCCGGATCAGCCGAGATCCATAAGAGATCATTATGGCTACTTTTCTGCCAAGCAAGGTATTGAGGGTTCTCAAGAACCCATCGGCACGTCCCATCTGCGCGGTCTGGATTGATATTCTTATATTGTTCGTAGGTGGAGGTTTTGAACGCTTGATGGCACCTTTGCTGCTCTTTAGTTAAAGCATTTTGCATATTTTCAAGGTGATGGACTTCTCGTTGTTGAAATGATCTTTCCATGCCCTTGTTGATTTCCTTGACTTCGCCGACGATTTCGCCTGCATGAAAAGAATCAATATTCTCGCCGCCAGAGAGTGTCGTCAGAGGGGATCGCCCTTTGCCAAGAGTGAAATGAAGGTTGTGGAAGCACCTTACTTACTGCAGATCTCTGTGACCAATCTCTCGTGCGATACTTGGACCACAGGCACATAGCTAAGCAATTCTTTGGCATACGATGCGGCGGCCAATGCAGCGTATCCTTGCCATTGCTTGTTCTTATGTGAGTCGGCATAGTCACAGATACCCCGGATAACTATACATGGGAAATCCATCATGAGACCAGCTGCCTCCATTTCAAAACACAACGCTCCAGTCTCCTGGCGAAGCCGTTCTCGTGTCGCTCCGTGTTTCATAACCGCGTTTCCAGAGGCAATGATGCCGTAATGTACTTGCGGGTAAGCTTCTTCGCGCGTATCTCTGCTTTCTTCCCATTCCGGTAGACAGGCATCACAAGTAGGTGCGGTCGTAGGATGCTCGCGTTCAAACTGGAATAACCTGTCTGTGGACGCATTAGGTCGACCAAAGTTGCGTTGTGTCCGTGTATTTCGTTGGATCGCCTTCTCAATGTAGTCTGGATAGGTTGGGTCATCGGCTAACGCAGATGCACTCATATTCGCAACCGCAGTTAATAGTGATCGAGGTGGGCTGTTTAAAGAGCCGGTTCGCTGGAGATTGCCCTCTGTCACAACTTTTCCCATGTCATATTGAAGCACCCCGCCACAAGTGCCTTCCGGATAGCTGACCACAATGTCTCCCAGTCGTATATCACAGTTATCAGATGGAATCCCTCCCCCAATACCGACCATTAACCCGATTCGCAACGACCGGGAGAATGTTCGCATCATGTTGACCGCAACCGTCGTGGCTGAAGTCGTGCCATACTGTCCGGCGGGTTGGCCAGCAATCACGACAAAATGTCTCCCAACCCGACCTAAGGTGTATGAGTTCGTATCTTTACTGTCTTGGTCTTCTAGGATCCCGAAATTCTCATCCAGCATCTGCTTAGCTGCGGCGACTTCCATTGGCAAGGCACATATCCAGCCGATTTGGTACGAGTCCCGGGCAGGGGTATTCATGATGTTGTCCTCTCAGATCGGCATAGCTCTGCAACTTCTAACAGGCGCCTGTCTTCTAAGGCTTTAAGTTTCGAATCTAAGAGAAGCAACAGAGGAAGTTGTTCAAAAGTAATGCGACGGCTTCCACAAGAACAGGAGGTAGCCAGAGCCTTGAGGCTTGAACGACGCTGATCGCCTTATCTTTGGGACGAGGCTGCAAGGCTTTTTTTGCCTGGGCATAATTAATTGGTGAATGCCCTTCCAACTTCCAAAGGTCACATCACATCTGGACTGGCAGGGGTCAAGGGCGTCAAACCTCAACAGTTCATTGGCGCGTCGGATGTCAACGGAATCCTGGTGGATCCGCGAGCTTGAACTTAGTAGGCTTCTAACCAGTTAGAAGTCCAATGGTGATTGCAAGTGATTCATTGTCCAATTCTACCTCCACCCTCCGCGTGCAAACTGATCTGTGAAGTGACCCCTCGAGCCTGTGAGGATCGCAGGATGGCATATTTGTTCCGATTGTCCCGGATAGTCATCACACACTTGTGCCCATCCTGTCAGCCATAATCGGCTTGGGTGTTAAGTCATAAGAGTAATGAGGCCTGAAGTTAGGCAATAGGTGGACACCATGATGGAGGCTACTTAACGAATATTGAGTTTGATCAGAAGGTTCAGGATCCATGAGACGAAGTTTCTTCGCCAGGTTGCTTGGAACCCTAGGGCCGGACCGCTTTGAGGACGATGTAATAGCGCTCCTTCTTGGGGCAGTCGGGCAATCTCTTGATGGCCTGCTGATAGGTGGCGTAGAGAGCGTTGACGTCCGCTCCTTGCCGCTAAGATTTCTTGCAGGCGCCACAAGCCCATCGAGGCAAGCGTAGCTGGAATTGAGTCACCCGGGGAGAGGAGGAGACGTGACGACGGCATATTGTTTATCACCGTCAGTCGATGATCGCAGCCTTGTCAGTCGCCATGGAAGGCCCAAAGCAAGTTGAAGAGGACCAGGTCGGTCTTAGGCCGAACAAAGAGCTCCCCCGCGCACGATGGCGGGGCGTGTTGCTGTGGGCGCGCTTGCAAGCAGTATCCTCTAGGTGGCTGAACTACATGATTGGGTGGTCAATACCAATCAACTGCCTCCCTGTTCATCAACGACGGGAATGGCTGACAAGGAACTGCACAGACACAGATGCTTCAGCTGCTACTCTCATCTGATGATGGACTCCACAGACCATCTCCAGCCGCCCGGGCGCGCATTGTACCGCAAAGAATCTGATATAGCGTGCCATGCCCACACACAGGATGAGGCAAATAACTAGGCTCGGGCCGGATGGCGCGGCGCCACAAATCTCTTATATAATTAAATTCCGCGAAGTTGTGACATAAGTTCGACTAATTAACATGATGGACTACGCAGTTTCACGTACTACAGTATGCACCTAGCAGGTCCCATGCGTAGCACCAGTTTGGATTGTTTGGTTTACAGTATCACTACTCCCGCCATGTCTTCTCGCGGTCGCCTCTTGCTAATTACATACTCCTGGAATAAGAGCAGAAGCAACGGTGTGAGACTCGAGAGGAGCCAAAAATCTCAGCATGAAGCGTCACACTAGATGATTCGGTGCAGGAGCAGAGATGAATTGTTTCATCCATGGATCTCAATGCCGTGACTAAGGGACAGGTCAATCAGTCGTCGTCAATCAGTCATAGGATGAGCCACAAAAAGCGCGGGGAATTTCTCGACTGGCTGGAGCCCCCTGTCCTTGGCCACAAATCCTGCGCCTCGACTCCATCTTTCCGTCTACAGAGTTAGTAGCATGCGCCGAGCTACTACGTCGAAGCCTTCCGACACTGCAGAACACACTGAACACGGGAGACTAGAAATACATCATCCAAATTTGGAGGGCAAGAGGCAATATTGTAAGAGTGAATTGATAGCTGGATTCCTTTACTATAACACTACAACACAGAAAACTCGACACCCCCAAAAAATAGGAGTGATCACATTACAGAAAGCTGGTGATGTTGTTCCGACATCAGCGAAAGCAATGGCGTGTAACCGAAAACGAGCGAGCGATGTCGACACCCGAATGTTACCCTGAATTATTTTGGTGCAGGAGCAGATACCGAAGTCTTCATAAACTCCTTGAACATGTCTGCCAGCACGCTCACTGTTTTATTCAAGCTGCTTACCGTGTCAGTCAGGTCGTGCACCTTCGACTCCAGATCTTGAACCCGTTGATCTCTTTCAACGTCACTGATCGATCGACGGCGATCTGAGCGACTGAGCACGGCCAACTCGTCTGCTTGGGCGTCCTTCATACCCCTACGTCTTGTCGGGTCCTTTTCGACCTTGGCGGGGTCATTGTAGTAGCTCACCCATCCTGCCTTCCACGGCGTAGGTGTGCCGTCTCGCTCACAGACCTTCTCAATTTTCGCCCTTGCGCTCGCGGGTCCGAGGACCTTGTTCAGACTGGATACAGTGAGTATATGAATCCCTTTCTTGTGAAACTCTACGCAGCAGTCCGTTGGAGGATCCTTCTTGTTTGCAGCCACGTTTTTGAGTTGAATCTGGGACTTCGTGACCCAAAGTAGCTCCTTGAAGTCACCTCGGTCCCTGTCGGACCACTTTGACTGACCGTCGGCTAGGTTCTTGTGGCCAGCCATACTCTTGTAGTGCTCCACTTCAAGCAGCCCAACATTCGAGGCCGACACGAGTCTGCGCACTAGCCGACCATCTTCTTCAGTAGTTTCTACGCATACCTGGGTTCCCCATTTCCCCTGCTGTCTCACTCCTATGATGAGAGACCCATCAGCGGCCTTAGCGGTGGGCCACGGGTAGTCAATGCGATTCGGATTGGCAGGCACAGGCTTTGCTTTGAGAAAATCGTCCGCCACGTCAAAACTCCATTCTTCAGGAAGATGGTGCTTCGTAACATACTCGTCTATGAGGACTTTCTCTGTCACCAAATTCTTTCTCGCGACCTCGTTCTTTGGATCCTTAAGAAGAACATGATAACTCTCCAGAGCTATTTTGTAATGTGGTCCGAAGAAGCTTACGGGGATCAGCCACCTGTATTTTGGGATTTTCTCACTCTTGTCTGTTGCATATTTATTGTGAGCTTTATTCCCGGCACTAATTCTGTGGTTAAGGCCATTCAGTTGGTCAAGCAAGGCTTTATCACTAGGATTATGCCCAAGCTCGTAAAGAAGAGGTGTCGCTTCTCGATAAATATCCTGCACTCGAGCAGGAGGCTTGGGGACTTCGTCCTCTGCCATGGTTACATCGCCTTGCGCGTCTTTACCGTTGTCATCTTCATCAGATTCCGAATCTCCTGCCGGGAGGACCTCTTCACCGTCCCAAAGGGTGACCTCATCGATGAATACTTGATCTACGCCCATCTGCCGTGCCGCCCGTCGAAGTTCTGCCATCCACGTTAGTTATAGGCCCATAGCTAACAGTTAATTCACTTACTCCTATAGGCCGCCTTGGAATCATTGTGATGGCAATAATGCGGGTGAAACATGCATCCAAGCCGTCTCCAAGCAGCTAAGATTTCTTCCTCCGTTGAGCTCTGGCTCACTGCCAGAATCTCAGCATAGGATTCATCAGCGCATCGCAGTACCCGTTCAATTTCCTGCTGCACATCATCCAACTTAACTTCCGTCGCATCTGTGCCGGTAGCTGGCTTGGCTGGTGATGTTGGTGTTTCTACATTGTGCTTGGCTGCGGCTTTTCTGGCCAAATCTGCTGCGACCCTCCCCTCTTCGACTCCAGGCGTTGGCTCTGGAGTCAGAAGCCGTCCTCTAGCCCGTGCGTCTTTCTCGGTATCATTATGCGCAGTAACAGAAGTTTCCAATGCAGCAGTTGAAGCCATGGTGATTTGAAGGATGCAAAGGATGACAGGACAGTGCAAGTGATGCTAGGCTAGATATAAATACTCACGCTGGACAGCGAGATCCGCGGGAGAGTTTGAAAACAAGCCAGAACATGATTTGAGAAAGTCTACAAAGGGGAATTATGCACGTCGTGGCATAAGCCAGCATCGGTGTTGAAGAGGACTAAATTCGCCTTAAACGGGTCATTTTCATTTCATTCTAGGCATTTCACCTAGTCAAGAAACCATTTGCTTCATGCATGGACTACTTTGCAATCATCACGAAGTTGGCAGCCCCTAAGAAGAGCGACAGAACTGTTAGTTCAAGACAGAGTTGCGATGGGACCACGATATCTGAATATCGCTCACTTCTGGTTTCCAATTTCTTCCCAAGCCGTCCCCTAGGAGGGCCTGAAAGTCGATCGCAACCGTGTGCCGGGTAAGTTGTGAAGGCTGTTCAAAAAAGAGCGACGATTCATTGGTGGATGATCCGGTGAGCCACGCGCAGATGGTAAAAGTTTAAGCCGGATGCCGAGTGTCTACTTGACCTGTGTTTGCTTGACTGGGGTCTATGCAGCCTGAAATGGACTTATAGACCTGATCTGGAATTACCTGACCTGAATTTATGCAGTAGCCAGAAATGGACCACAAACCTGTCTCTACAGACCTAAGTCTACTCGACCAGAGATAGTTTGGTGACAGGGGTCCAGATACTTGACTGGCAAGGGCCAAAGGACTCCCAATTCTACTCCTGCACCAATGACGCTCCCAGGTCCGCTGATGGCGGTATACGAAATACTTGCAGGGGTCTATGTCGCACGGGAAGGCGTAGTTACGCACGAAGGCCTCGGTTGCGAGCCCGACGCGCGTCGCCGTCAAAGCAATAGCGGTATGGACTTCCGCGCTTCCAAACCAGGCAAAATTGTCGCGAGGAGAATTTGCTGCGCCGATGTCTAACCAGTCTTGTAGTCGAGCCGCATGAAGGTGGTGTGCGGCAATTTCAGCGACTCCGGGCGCGCAGCTCGTACCAGGAGAGTCAAGATCAGATTGGGATGTACCTGACTTGCCATCTACCCATGAGAAATACCCACCGGCTCCATGACGGATATCCCTCAGCCGAGAAAGTGCGGTGCAGTATTCACATCTTGGAGCCAGCTGTTGGCGCTGATGTGTCTTTCGGAGGACCAATCCCTCTCGACACAGGCTGTGACATTAGATCGCATGGAGTTCAAGTACCCAGGTTCTTTGCGGTACAATACGCGTCCGAGTAACTGGAGCCGGTCGCGATCGTGTCGTGGACGCGTTACGGTTTTGATTGTCCTTCGCGCTCAAGGGGCTGGTTGGTAAGTGTGGAGTCTATCGTCAAATGTCAGCTTGAAAGGGGTCTGCAGGTGAGAGTGGCAGCTGAAGCAGCTGTGTCTGTGCGGTTGCTTGTCAGGCATTCCCATCGTCGATGAACAGCGGTTGGACCTGTGACAATGGGCGCATACAAAAACGCCGTAGGGCTCGGGGCCACCAGCCAGCAACTTATATTGTCTGACACCCTGGCTAAGTGGGAGACAGTTTCTTGTCATTGACCACCCCAATCATGTGGTTCAGCCAGATAAAGGGTGCTGCATGCAGGCGAATACCCAACGTGCGTGAGCGTAACTGGCGAGATCCTGTACGTTGCGACCTGTCACCGACATGGCCCTGTTCAGCTGGCGTTCGTCCTTCTATGGCAACTGACAAGGCTGCGCTCTTCAACTGACAGTGATAGACAATATGCCAACGTCACGTCTCTTCCCTCTCTCCCTGGGTGACTCAACCCCAGCTTCCTCGTCGACGTACGCGAACTTCCCCTCCGCACCATGGCATCCCACAACGCTCTCGACAGCCCCGACTCCTATGCGGTCGCCTGGATCGCTGCTCTTCCCATCGAGCGGGCCGCTGCAGAAGCGATGCTCGATGAGGAACATGCAGCTCCAACTGGTTTCACTAGACACCAAACTGACCCGAACGTTTATACTTGGGGTCGCGTAGGAGAGCATAATATCGTCATTGCCTCTCTTGCCGCTGGAGTCTATGGAACCACCTCAGCTGCGACCACGGCCTCGAGCCTGCTTGCCTCTCTGCCATCCATCCGTGTTGGTCTTTTGGTCGGCATAGGCGGCGGCATCGCTCGACCGGACGAGGACCGCGATATCCGGCTCGGCGACATCGTCGTGAGCGAGCCCGACGGGATCATGGGCGGCGTCTGCCAGTACGACTTGATCAAGGCAAAGTCGGGTGACAAGCGTCAGCGCAAAGGCTTCCTCGGGCGGCCTCCGACGGTCCTCCTCAATGCGCTTGCCAGCATCCAGGCCGGTCACGAGCGGAAAGACGCCAAGGTTCCCTTCTATCTTCAAGAGATGCTGGAGAAGAACCCAAAGATGGGCAAGAGATCCAAGCAAAATCCTGGCTATGCTCACCAGGGCTCCGACAACGACCATTTGTTCAAAGCTTCATGCCACCACGTCCCCGGGCCGGACTGTCGGGGCTGTGACACGGCTGGCGAGGTTCGACGCGATCCTCGAGACACTACCGACCCCGAGATCCACTACGGGACCATCGCATCCGGCAACACGCTTGTCAAAGACGCCGCTACGCGCGATCGGATTGTTGCTGACGTCGGCGAGGATTGCATCTGCTTTGAAATGGAAGCGGCCGGCCTGATGAACCACTTTCCCTGTCTCGTGATCCGAGGGATCTGCGACTACGCCGATTCCCACAAAAACGATCGATGGCAACGCTACGCCTCGGCCACAGCCGCTGCGTATGCCAAGGAGCTCCTGACGTACGTGCCGGCCGCGGAGGTCCAGGAGACCAAGAGGGCACTGGAAGTGCTTCAGTTGGGTTAGTTCTTGTCTCATTCACTAGGGTTAGACTAGCACAATACATGAGACGAATAGTATTTCAATTTCGAGTACATCCTGACCGCGAGTAGTTCAACAACAGATCGATGGCGTGCAGCAGACGACAGTTGCAACGAAAGCCGCCACTGATTCCATTAGGTCTGACCTTCGTACCGACAAGGTCAAGCGCTGGCTTTGTCCCCCAGATCCGTCTACAAACGCCAACCAAGCGAGGAAGCTCCGCCATGAGGGGACGGGCGCGTGGCTCTTGAAAAGCCCGGTCTTCCAGGAGTGGCATTCGGGGTCGCGTCGACATTTATGGCTGAATGGGCTCGCGGGATGTGGAAAGACAGTTCTTAGTGCGACTGTGCTGGATCATCTCACGAAGGGAGGCGACCGTCTTATCCTCGGCTTCTTCTTTGACTTTAGCGACACGACAAAGCAGACCTTGGATGGCATGCTGCGGTCGCTTGCTTTCCATCTTTACCAAGGCGGGACCGGTTCTGCAGGTCTTCTTGACGCCTCATTTCAAGCACACCAGGATGGCCGCGACCAACCTGCTACAAAGGCGCTCGAGGACATAGTGTGCAGGATGCTTGCAGCCCAGAAGAAGAGCTCTATTGTTCTGGACGCCTTGGACGAGTCGACGACAAGAGATGAACTTCTCCTGTGGATGAAGGACGTCGTGTCCAGGCCAGACTTGGGCGATGTCCAGCTGATTTGTATCAGTCGGCCTGAACCCGAGTTCATGCGCGACATTCCCTCATTGATAGGCGAGGAAAACTGCTTAGCGCTCGACAAGAAGTCCGTCAACGCCGATATCCGGTCGTACGTCGCAGCACAGCTTTCACAACGACCTGATTTTCGGGACAAGCGCTTGTCCGAGGATCTCCTCGAGGGGATCCAGAGGAAGGTTGGCGACGGGGCCGACGGGATGTGAGATATTACTGCTTCAATCGATATGCTGATGTTTTGCTGACGCTCTGCTTAGGTTCAGGTGGGCGTTCTGTCAATTGGGCAGCCTGGCTCGATGTCCTCACAAGGCGGCTATTAAGGAAGCTCTCGCATCTTTGCCGCGGAACCTGGAAGAGACATACCGACGCATGATTCAACGCATACCGACGGAGCTCAAAACCGATGCGATGCGGCTCCTGCAGTTTCTAGTGCACTCGAAGCGACCTCTTACGCTGGCCGAGGCTAAGGAAGTAATAGCAACACGGATTGAACACGAGCCACGAGGCTTTGACGCGAAGCGTCGACTGTTTTGCGAGACCGACGTTTTAAGCTACTGTCCCAGCTTAGTGACAGTCGTTCACGCCACTGATAAAGAGCTACATCTTGCCCACTTTTCCGTCAAAGAATACCTACTCGGAGAGGACCAGTTCAACAGTACGACTGCCAGCATTTCCATCACGACGACGTGCTTGACTTACCTTACGGACATTAAAGGTAGCCACGACGAAATCAAACGGGATTTTCCGATGGCAAGATATGCGGCAGAAGTCTGGACAGGCCATGCTGCGTTGGCTCAGGCTTCGGAAGAAATACTTCAAGCGACAGTCAGGTTCCTAGAGACGGAAGCAACGTTCCAACGATGGGCTCAATTATATCAGGCTGATAGGGATTGGGATCATGACCCAGGTCCTGCACGAGGTTCCAGGCTCTACTACGCTTGCTTCGATGGGCTCGTAGCGCCTGTAAGAGATCTTATCGGTAAGGGGGCGGACATTAACGCGAAGGGCGGCAAATACGGCAACGCTCTCCAGGCCGCCTTGGAGACAGGCCATCTCGAGATTGCCAAGCTGCTCTTGGATAGGGGAGCGGACGTCAGCGCGGAGGGCGGCTACTACGGCAACGCTCTCCAGGCCGCCTCGTTTAGAGGCCATCTCGAGATTGTCAAGCTGCTCCTGGACAAGGGAGCGGACGTCAACGCGCAGGGCGACTACTACGGCAACGCTCTCCAGGCCGCCTCGTTGGGAGGCGATCTTGAGATTGCCAAGCTGCTCTTGGACAATGGAGCGGACGTCAACGCGCAGGGCGGCCAGTTCAGCAACGCTCTCCAGGCCGCCTCGGAGACAGGCCATCTCGAGATTGCCAAGCTGCTCCTGGACAAGGGAGCGGACGTCAATGCGCAGGGCGGCCACTACGGCAACGCTCTCCAGGCCGCCTCGCAGAAAGGCCATCTCGAGATTGTCAAGCTGCTCCTGGACGAGGGAGCGGACGTCAACGCGCAGGGCGGCCACTACGGCAACGCTCTCCAGGCCGCCTCGCAGAAAGGCCATCGCGAGATTATTAAACTACTCTTGGACAAGGGAGCGGACGTCAATGCGCAGGGCGGCCACTACGGCAACGCTCTCCAGGCCACCTCGTTGGAAGGCCATCTCGAGATTGTCAAGCTGCTCCTGGACAAGGGAGCGGACGTTAATGCGCAGGGCGGTGCATACGGCAACGCTCTCCAGGCCGCCTCATTATGCGGCCATCTCGAGATTTTTAAGCTGCTCTTGGACAAGGGAGCGGACGTCAACGCGCAGGGCGGCTATTACGGCAACGCTCTCCAGGCCGCCTCATTATGCGGCCATCTCAAGATTTTCAAGCTGCTCTTGGACAAGGGAGCGGACGTCAACGCGCAGGGCGGCCAGTTCAGCAACGCTCTCCAGGCCGCCTTGGAGGAGGGCCATCTCGAGATTGTCAAACTGCTCCAAGGAAGGGGCGCTGTTACATCGTATTCCAAGCTGTCCGTCTCTAGAACTCCAAGCAACCTTGCGAAAAAAACTTCGTCTCATGGACCATGAACCTTCTGATCAAACTCAATAATTCGTTAAGTAGCCTCCATCATGGTGCCTACCTATTGCCTAGCTTCAGGCCTCATCACTCTTATGACTTAGCACACAAGCTGGTTATGGCTGACAAGATGTGCACAAGTGTGTGATGACTATGCGGGACGATCCGAACACATACGCCATCCTGTGATCCTCACAGGCTCGAGGGGCCACTTCACAGATCCGGTTGCACGCGGAGGGTGGGATGGACGGCAGGACGCCGCTGGCGCTGGCCGCAGGGAACGGGCACGAGGCCGTGGCCAAGCTGCTGCAACCCAATCTTTACTCATGGTTCAGCAGGAACCGCAAATCCTGTAAGTTGTAATATCTTTGCCAGAAGTTGGTCGAAGGTGTCTAGGTTCTTTTACAAATATGATGTGGTGTCACGTGCTGCATATCCTGATGTAGCAAGTCATCGCGGAATTTTTGTGTGGACGGAAGTTGATTTTCCTCTTGATGTTGCGTCGGCTTGGAGCAACGTCCCCTTTGTATGTTAAGTATCAACGCGTGCTCCGCCTCCAGGAAGTCTCTCATTGTTCACCCGGTGCTCGGTACATTGTCTCGCATCCTTTATTCTGCTTTGATACGAGTGGACTGCTCCACATCTAAACGAGAAGGTCACATATTTCAGAAGAGACAGACTATTTATATTTATTTACAAAAGACTACAGTGAGCGTATATTACTCCCTCTACCTAACCAAAGTATGGTTTCAAATATGAGCACCATATATGTCATTTGATTGAATCCTCCGCATGAGTTGCGGGCTTAGAAGCTCGCTTCGTACCCAAGTATCCTCTTTGGACGGACGACCATGCCAATGCAAAAGGCGTTGAAGTTTCCCAGCTCTCAATCGGGCTCCCAAAACATCCACGCCCGCGTCAAAACCTTGCCAACTCGCCTCAAACCTATTGAGCAATCCTTTATCTATGATGTGTCCTCTCGGCTCCCACGTCGTGGTGGCATCAGACCATTTCACCAGGAAAGTGTGTCGCCTCCACCGAGCAAGCAGGCAATCCATTCGGTAAATGTCGGGACAGACACTTGGGTAGGCAGCTTGGATGGACTGCTGCGCTATATTTTCCGCATGTTGTTGGTTGGATTGCTCCTTTCTGGCTCTAAGTCTCCGGTCTTCGACTTTGTTTGGTGCTTGGCCGTCTTTCGGGATTGGATCGTTCTGGGCAGCTAGTGTATTCCACAAAGTATCACTAGTAAACTGTAGTTGGAACATAACAGTGCCATTCTGTTTAGTGCATTTTAGGACCGGATTGCCAAGTGGCCATGCCTCGTACCCCGCAACACCGGAATGGGCAGGCCTTTTTGCATTTGCAACAGACGCGTTGCTGCTGCTTTTTGTCGTATTCTTCCTCAAGAAGTGTGCTTTTCGATTTCGCCTTGGACCCGAGCCTTGCTGTGAACCAAGCTTCTTAGGCTGAGGGCATATAAGCTTGCGAAGTTTGCGCTGTGGCACAAGCTTTTCGTTAGACCCGCCGTCCTTTTGTTCCGCGGTGAGTTGTCGTTTGACCGGGAGACGGCGAAGGTTGTAAGCTTTTCTGAAGCCACGACGACTAGACGACCGCTTTTCCATTTCTTCGGGCTGGCTCACTGTGTGGTTGGCACTGATGCTTGTCTGGCACTCCTCATCCCATCCTTGACCAGTTGGCGAAGAGCTAAGGCGAGAATCCATGGGCAGAGTATTATCTGCCGTTTGGTGTTTCTGAACACCCTCCATCAAACCTCCTCGACGCGAGACTGGGCGGCTGCATCCCGACGGTGTTGTTTGGGCCGAGGCGGGTCGAGCCACACTATGCAATTCGTCGTCGCTTCGCGAAACCATGCCACTAATGCGGCCGTGGTCAACATTGACGTTATGAATCTGGCTGCACTGGTTTGACGACACGACAATGCAATTCTGCGATTGAGAATGCTGGACGGGGATGGTCGTGGATGCAAGACAGGGTTGAAAAGGAGGTTCTACATTCTCCTCTTGCAGTGCTTCATCCCTTGGAGGCAACACAGGTGCGGATTGCGCTGACCGACGCTCGGAGGCCACCGAGACGACACCAGGTGTTGGTATAGATGTAGGCAAAACCGAGTTTACGCCGTCATTATGTTGTTGTATTGCCGGAGACACCAACTCATTAGAGTCAGCGGCGATCCCCGGGCCATCGAGAGCTCTTGAGACGAAAATCACACCTCTCGGAGAGTTTAAGGCTGATGAATCAGAACTTTCTCCCTCCCCCCCTAAGCAAAGATCCTGGGTTGAGCTCCCTAGGCTCGAGATTGCCATTGCACCTTGAAGTTGGGTTTGCAATTGCTCACTGACGTCTTTTGTTGGACCGTGTCCGACGTTAACCATGGACGCCACAATCGCAGAGATAGAAGGAAGCGAGTCGTCAAGATGCTGGTCGTGTGTAAAGTGTACACGCGGGACATCTTGTCCCATCACTTCGGCGTCACTATCTGTTTCAGACTCGGAATCGGACGGGATCGATATCACGTCATCCAAAGGCCACGGGCGATCAAGAAAGGAACAGGCTCTCGCAGTTTGTGCCATCATGTCGGTGTACCGTCCTAGAAAGCTGACGGGGTTTGAGGTGTGGAAGCACGTGAAGTTAGTCAGGCTATGCTGTTCGCGTCTCTTACAAGTCAAAGGCAGCGAATTTGTGAGGAATGATAAAGTTAAGGTCAAAAAGTTTTACGCAGCGTCATGGGGGGGCGACCTCTTTATATACCCGTTCGAACTCAGCATGGCATCCCTCGCGTATTACCAAAGCCTCGTCATGCCTCCGAACTTCCGCTCATGTCACCATGCAGTCCAGGGGTTGAGTTTATGTAACCCATTGACAACATCATCTTCGCCTGTGTTTCTTGCTTAGCAGCCACACGGCATGGACGCAGACCATGCTGTCGAGATGCTAGGAAATACTAGTGCGTATATTCAGCTAAATGAGGACGCTAGAAGCCTTCTAACAGGTCAAAGTCATTTGAAATGAGATGTCACGATCCAATAGTTCGTCGCGTTGCTGACAACTCTGGTCAACGCAATTCTCTGTACACTTTGTCCATTTAGCCCAGAAGATTTTCTGTCCTCATTCCACCATTACTCAATCAGACGTATCAGCACGGTTCGAATTGATCGCACTCGATACTCTTAGAGAATCATTGGCTTGAGGTTCGTGGGTGGCTTTTGGAGGTTGCCAGTCAGGAGAAACGCTTGGGAGATCCGAGAGTGTGCCAGGACTTTCTTGCCGGCTTGTGGTGCCGAAAAAAATCGATCGGCCGATTTTCATCTCCAAAGGCCTGCTAGCCTCTGTACAACTCACTGTAAGTCGGCCCTCTTCAAATCTCCCTCTTTTTGTCCCTATCGTTTGTCATCCATAAGCCCTCGCCCAAGGGTTCTGTCACGAGTTTTGAGATCGTCCTCCTGGATTTCCCTTGCTTTTCTCCTCTCTCTTTCCCAGCCCAATTCGTGGCACCTTGTGCCGCGAGTTTGGGACAATGCTTGTGCTCCAAAAGGTAGGACATGATTTGGGCGGTGAGCTTTCCGATCTTTTTGAAGCTAATGAGTGGATTGACGGCAATCATGACTATCTGTCGATGGCATAAACAATAAATACATATATCCGCGCGGTGTTGGCGGCAGTCTTACGCTTCGGGCGCATCTACCGGGCGACCTGCTTCTTGCCCTAGGCCTTCAATCTCCATTGAATGAACATTTGAGACTACCTTCACCCAACCAGTTTCATCAGCGTTGTTACAGCTGCTCGGGTTTAGATATATGGCGAGACCGGTGCCCTGCGACCCATCAGCAGCATCGGGCATACGCCATTCCAGGCTCATTCCTGGAAATATATCCCCAGGAACAATCTTTTGTACGCCTTTAATTGCGCTGCTGATATTGAGCTCTCTATTCTTGTCAGAATCCCCAACGAGATGTTCATTCCGGCGGGTTGTGGGTGCTGTCAAGAGTTCAAATAAAAGGGTTGACTCGTTGATCTGTCCAGGAGCATCCTCAACTGCATCAAACGGATGAGATCCAAATAGAAGATCCGGAGTGCCCAGATCGAGAGACGGTAGAGCAGAAGAATTATCATGAAGAGTGGTGGGACGCATCGCTATGATATCGGTCTGAACCTTGTTGGTCGCCATTGACCCAGTGCTGGGGCTGGTAGTCTGTTCAATAGAGGTTGTGACGATGATAGCCTTCTCTAACTCCCCGACTGGGTGGAAAGCTCTGTTGCCGTGCTGTGGCTGAGTCTCTAGCCAACGATCTCCAATGTCAGGTGTAGAGGCCTTGTCATAAGATTGCTTCTCCTTCCTCCAGCCCTGGATGCCTAAATCGCGACGGTCATCTGCAGTCATCTTACGATCGCCATGATCCAAGGGGAACTCTGTGTCAGTGTCCCAAACTCGAGCATTATGATCGCAGCCGGTCTTGCTGCAATGATCTTGGACAACTAGATCCGGCTCGTTCCCAGCACCAGCATCAGGCGAGGCGGAAGTTCTACGGACAACGGACTCACCGACGGCACTCAAGGGAGGCGTGGACGCACAAAGCGATGGAGGCGGAGAGTCGCTGCATCCTGGTTAGCTGCAAAGTATGGATGATCGTCTGTTATGGAGAAGGCCTTACGGTATAAGGAGCTTTAAATCGGGAAACTTCTTAGTCCTCTTTAGTCGGTTCTCAGCGGGTTTCTCCTTGTTGCCACTTTTCATCCAAAAGCCGTCGTCCGAATGTTGAGGAGACTCTATAGAGTCTTTACACTTTCCTTCTCCATCCTTGACTTGTTTCTCTCTTGGTGCAACTCCGAACCAATTACTGGCTTCCTTCAACGCGTCTTCAGCCGAGTTCTTATGCTTCAAGAGATATGACATAATCTGCGCCGTGCTGAATTTGAGCTCTGGGACTTTCTTGGCAAAGTCTCCTGCAAGCCTTCTCAGTTCCAAAATTACCTCGTCGTCAATGGCGTCATGTCGTTTATCGGGCTTGAACACGAAGCTGAACAGGTCTTTCGTCACATCTGAATCTGCCAATGGAATTTCAAGCTTCATGTCAATACGGCCCGGTCTTATGAGCGCTTCGTCCAAATTTTTAATATGATTCGTAGTCATGATCAACACCCGCCCTTCTTGAGATGCAACACCATCCAAGGTGTTTAAGAGTCCTGACAGCGAGAGTGCCTTTTTTGCCTTCTTGTCCGAACCCTGTCGATCGGTCCCAATAGCATCAATATCCTCCAGCAAGACAACACATCTCTCAGGAAGGCTATTGAAAAGCTCCTCCAGCGTCCGGTCATCCACGCTTGGGGCATTAACGATGTATATGTCGAGATTAAATTCCCCGGCCACCGCCGAGCCGAGGCTTGACTTTCCAGTGCCAGGCGGACCATGAAGCAGGTACCCCCTCCGATATGGAATGCTGCGCTGAATATACCAATGACGAGTCTCTTGGTTTAGAAAATTCTTCAAGTCGTCCACTAATTCTTGTTTAAGCGAGCTGCTGATAATGACAGTGTCAAGCGGCCGTTTTTCCTTTGTTGATATTCTCTTCCAGTAGTCGCCAGAGTTTTTAAAAATTGTTATCTTGCCTCCAATTTGCTCCAAATATTCGTGTCGACATTCTCCAATGAACTCTTTAAGAACTTGCACCGATCTACCTGGGCAACTGATGGTGATGACCTCCTCTTTGTGCAACCCCCTGTCGACAGTTTGCATTTCGAATGCAAGGGTTTGGCACTTAAATGGAAAAGAAAACGACCCGATCCATGGAGAAAAGGAAATCGGCTTTTTATCGCCTGCCTCAACGCCCCCTCTGGACTTTCCACCTACCCGAGCAATAATCGATCTTGCTGCATTGTCAACTTCACGAGACGAGACCCAGGCCATAAGCATGTCAAACGACTCGTCTGTAGCTTTGACATGGAGCGTTACAGCTAAGTGAGGTCAGAGGATTGCTTTGCTGTTGCACCTGTAGACAAATTACTTACTGAAATAATGGTTGATCAATGATTGCAGCTTGTCATAATATGTTTTCAAAAACGCCACAAGTCCAAAGACGCACATCAGAGAGGCATAGCTGTTCAGTCCCCAAGAAAGGAATTGAGAAAACCATAGTAAAGGAAAGTCGGGTCTGAGGATGTCCATCAGACGGAGTGACTCGGATGAGCTCTGCACTTTCCGTGTCCAGGGAAAGCTTCTGTTCGCAAAATTCGACATTGTGATAATTCTCAACGTTTAGTGATTTCAAGGAAGATTAATTATTTGTGTGAGAGTAAACTCTTTTCTTGAGTTGAGCACCCACTCGAGAGGAACTGAGCTGACCTTTTATAGATACTAGATATCTTACCTGTCTTCTGAGACAACAACGCTTTACTACTTTCTGCTACCATCGGGAGAACTGAGGACTTTGGTTTAATTTCCGGCTCAGCAATGTGTAGAGCAGCCAACAGCTCTTCTGCAAGCCATATCACCATGGAGGTTACATCCACGCATAAAGGATCTGGCACACGTTGATCAGGAACACAGAGCCAAAAGCTCGGGTAGTAGTCCTTTGAGACCCGAAAGTGTATGAATGACGGCTTGCAGGGACAGCTGCATCTGCACACCAAAACGGGACATGTGTTGGCTTGCCGATACTATCACGGGGCGAATCTAAGGTGCTAGTAATAACGTAGTTGTGCCTTAAGGAGGAGGGAAG